CGATTTCTGTCTCGGTGGGGAATCGAGTGGGTATCGAGCCCCTCGACTTCGAGCTTCCTCCGAGATGGACATTTTCTCCAAAATGGACCTTTCCTCCAAAAACCGGGGAACCCGTCTATGCGCCTGCTCCGGGATAAAAATTTCCATGTACCGTCCCCGCGTGCGGAGAATTTCCGTCGTTAGAGACCGCGCACGTGCCGCGACGTGTCGGCACCGGTCACGATAACCCACACAGCGGGCGGAATCGCCACATTCGACCAGTTTGTCTCGCACCGAAGAGATTTCTCGGGTGATTCATAAGCGATAAAGTGCGCCGGGCACGCTTCGGCTTTTAATCGTAACCTCATCCGGCACGTGGGGAAAAATGTGCGGGAGCTATTACAAAAAAGGGCATAAATCGCGACAGGGAGGATTTATGCGAGCAGTGCCGCCACTCCGCCGGCGTTCCAGCACAGCGTTAATAAAAGCGAAAAGAAAACGGACATAATGCTCGGTAAACCGTATTACCGGCGTCAAGAGTGACTGCCGGCGTGGATAATAATATCTCCTCTGTGGACACCTTTCATCACGTTTTACGAGCCCAGAGTGTCAACTACCATTCTCCGCCTCGCACGATCGAACGTTAGCAAATGTTTGGAAAACGCGTATATTCCGCTGCACTTTAAGAAAAGGAAGAAAAAAAGAGAGAGAGAGAAAAAAAGGAACCGTACAAAGTAAATCTGAGAAGGTGAGTCTCGAGCGCAGCTGCGGTTTAGCCGACCGAAGTGCACGTTACTCATTCGAGTCTCGTTTCCCTCCCCACTGTTTAAATGATATTTTGTCGCCTCGAGGAGGAAAGTTCGCCTTGAAACCGTCGAGGTAGAAAACGATCGTTGTATGGGTCCCGTGATCGATAACATCGGCTGCAGTTGCAGCTGCACTTATTGAGACCGATCGGATTTTCTCATTCCGCTGCTTAACTCGACATGGCCGCGTTCCGATAAAGGCGTCGAGAGCTCCTGGAGGTGCGCGTGCCCGGTCAACCAAATCCTCATCGATTTTCCGATAATTGTATAATTAATACAGGTATTTTATCCCCCGTTGTCTTCCACGTGTAACCCAGGCGCCACGTGTCGCCGTTCAGCTGACTCGCTCGGCCCGGCGAGCGCGGGACTGAAATAGTTGTCGGAAATCAGCCGCGAGGCTGTTCTTCTCGCGCCAAGAATTGCCTCTCTCGTGCCGATATCGATCGGCTTCGATGTTTCACCTCGAACGCCGACAGGTCGCAACCTGGCTGGTGGAATTAATCCGCGATTAAGGCGATATGAAAATGGCACCATTAATGAAACTTTCCCCTTACCGCAAGGAAAAATAAAAAATAAAAAAAATTATTATATCAAAATTCAGTCGTAAACATTTTCTTTAATTTTTCATACAAATTCTTTTATACAAGAAGCACTTCATTCCACGAGTGCCACTAGATTGCACATTTCCGAGGTAAAATTTCCAACGATTCGGCACACCCAGTTCTAAGAAATGTTACATAAAGTACCGAGTTCTCTATGCCAGTTTGATGTCATCTTCATTTTTCTCAGTGCCTCGTTATCGTAATTAAATGCCCACCGCGCTCAAACCTCGTTTCTGTCTTTCGGGAAGAATTCCATTTTTTCTCTATTATTTAACGGTTTAGGCTTTCTCGGTTATCCGATGTCCTAGTCGTAAGGAGACCCGAAGTGTACGACGTGGTGCGCGTGTTCACCCATATCGACCAATTTCCCGTTGTTAATTATCTGAATTGAAGTTACATCCACAAGTCGCGGGATTATCGCGCGTGCATTGGCGCAACGGGGGTCGGCCCCTTCGCACGAGGCGACATTTCGCAATCGGCGGATATCGCGTCGAACAAACATTTCAACGAGCCAGTGTTACCGCCGAGAATTAACAAAGGATAAACTGATAACGAGCGAGTCCACGTGGGCGGCTGCGTTACCGAGTACGTACTTGTATGTAGAGGACAGTAGAAACATAGTACAAAAGCCGATAGGCGATAACGGCTATATCGCGGTCGCGCCCATAGACGCAGAATTTAAAAGTCTCGCTACCACGAAGCCAGCCTAGACGATTCATCAATTCCTCTCCGAATCGATGAGACCTATATAGGACTCTTAGTGACTATCATCAGGCGACAGCTATCTCGCGTCCAAGAGATACATAAATCCACGTAATCCAGGAATAACCAGTCCCAAGGGGGAGCGTAAAGAATCGAAGCCTGACCGGGGAGAAACAAACGCGAGGAAATTAAAATCCCATCTCGGAGGATTTACCGGAGTCCGTATTAATGCGAAGCTGCGCTAAACTCGCTGGGTACAATTTCATTACCGATTCGCTAAGCCCATTAAGACGCACCTGCACGCGAACGTGAGGCCTCGTGCGTCGTCGCCGAGATATCACGTGCACTTCCCCAAAGGGAGTGGCACACCTGCAGGTGCGAACGTGCCACCGAGTTACGAGCGGAACGAACGATCGCTCGAGAAAATCGCAATTACCATCACCGAGTGGTTTTTCTACCTCGAATCCGGAGTTAACGCGATAGTAAAGATGGTTAATATCGAAGGTGTTAAGGGGATATGAAAGCGGCATCCGAAAGCTCAATCGTTCATTAAACCTTTCTCCGAACTGGGAGTCTCAAATCGTTTCATACTTTAAAACGTGAATATGGAAACCCTAAGGTAGGTCGTTTTTTATAAGCTATTTTGACAAATACCTATAAACACATTTGAAAACAATTGAAATTTCATGAGTTTCAGGACCTTCCTTATAGTCTTCCTATTCACGTTGTAAAGTTTCTAGCTATTCGGTAAATCGAGTGGGAAGAAAAGTTTTATAAACGAAACCTCTTCGACGCCACATTCACATCACCTTAACCCTTTAATCAGTCGAACACGGAGAGTACCACCTGTACGGATAACTCGACCGCGGAGTGATAATATTTTATATGAATACGATATTCATTTGTCGCTTTGAATACATGGGAATAAAAAGACATTAGTCATACGGAAGCCACTATAGTGGCGTTTCGTAATTAGAGGGTTAAAGAAGGAATTAATGAGAGGAAGGAGTTCAGTACATTAGCGGGGAATTATTAGGGGAACGTTTAGACATTTTTTGGCACTCGCTCCGCGCGGGGGAGTTTCCCCTAGAAGGGGAGGGAAATATTCCCTAGAATGCCTGGGCCCGAGCACGTGGCTCCGTTGCCTAAGGTTCTTTACGTCGAGCCAATCTCATTGCGAAGTGTACGTGCTGCGTCAACGTGACAGGGCCTGGAATAAGCCCGCCAATTGCAAAGTAATCGCATTTCGCCGCAGCCGAAAGAATATGCAACGTTGACCCATGGGCGTCGCTTTCGGATAAAAAGCGACGACTCTTTTGTAAAGATCGACCGAACAATAAAGAACGGTCGCAGGTGATTTCTTCTCAAGGGAAATGACAAGGAAGATCGAAATCTCGGAATTTGGCGACATCGTTTGCAGACTCGCCGGAGATGCTAATGCTAATTCCACGGCGGGACGATCGATCGATTTGTCTCGAGGAATCGCTCCGGCGGCATGTCACTTGGCTCCGAATAAGTCATACTTTTGCATAATGACGTCTTTCCCGCCGAGTTTTTTTGCTATTAATAGTTAAGCAAGTGGCCCCTGCCTCACCTCTCGGAAAATTGCCGACGCTTTCTGCGGTAATCGCTTTATTTCTCCCGGGCACGCAGCCGATGCAAATGAATTCGCATTTGTCGGAGCGCACAATCGCCCGGTTAATTTGCTCATAACCTTGCCAAGGGTAAGCCCGTGTCACTCGATGATTCCGCAACTAAGAAAACTCCACCAAACGGAGCATCTCGCGTTCTACCTTGCATTACAGAAAATTCACATATAAGAATTTCATAGCGCACCCCCTTAACGCGAGAAAAAAGCAATTAACACGTAAGCTCGTATCACGTGTAAAATGATGATTCCACACCTGAGAAAATTGCATCAAACTAATCATCTCGTGTCTTGCCTTGAAGCAGAGATAATTGATTTTCAATGGTAAGAATTCTATCGCGCAACCCCCTTAACGCAAAAAGGAAAAAAAAATGATAAACGTCGCATCAACACGTGCAGACGCGAAGGTACGTACACGCAGCTGTGCAATTACGAGTCGGAATAAATCCTCGGAAGGTCGCCTTTCGTTCCCAATTTATTGCAACGAATTACCGTCATTGAGTAGCGCCTGTTTGTTCTGTAGTAAACACTTTGGTGTACGCGAGTTCCCGCGCAAACAACACAGCACAACAAACACGAAGACTCGTGGCAACGGGCAAGGGAGGAAGCCATTTTATCGAGGAATCACCTCGCCCCATCTTCCGGCATGATTTTCGAAGAACTAATTAATTTTTCACCAAAGAAAAGAAATCATTCGACCCTTTTCACGGTGAATTCGGAGTCCAAGCGGGAAGCGGCCTCGACTCGTCCCTCCAATTGTCCACATATTTGGCCAATTCCTCGCAGATAAACACTCGTCGGCCATTCCGACTGACAAGGACGAGGAAGTGATTACGGTAGGGTCGAACGGTACACGTCCATATTCCGACAAGCAACGTGACAAAGTTAAGAGATCGATGCCAACCCCCGCACGCAGATATCGCTACCCCGACGCTCGTAAATCTCCGACAAAAGCCGCAAATTCCCCTTAGAAGGAAAAATAAAAGAACCATTCAAATAATCCACAGATCTTGTAGAATTGCCTGAGCTTCGCACCTGTTATATCGATTCAACAATCGCATAGTCTGCGCTCTGAAATAAATTCCAGAGGTGTGGGGCGTTGACGATCATAACTTTTCGTCCCGATAATCATCGCCGGATATTATAGACCTCCCAAGTGCCCACCCTTCCGTTGATTCACACAAATGGACTCTAACTTCGTCGCAATTACATCCGTAATCGTCCATTTGTACACAGAGCACGCGTTAAACGAATGTCACATACCTTCAGTTGGAACTCGGGCGACTTTCGGTTCCCCGGGTTTCCTTGATGGGAAATTCAACGCGAAGTTGAGCAGTCCTTTATCGGTATTTCGCGGCACAGGGTTTATCGGTCACTCCGCGTACCCGACGGAAGCTCTATTATAGGTATAACCGTGTCGATTAATCGGAGTTTCACCGAAAGGGTTAAAAACGAGGTTAGGGCGACCAAGCTATGCCTTGAAATAAGGGAAGAGCCCTTGGAATGCGAGCGAGCGTGGCACGGCGACGCACCCTCGACGACGTCCGGAGGGCAACTGAGCCGATCCCGCGGTGCCATGTTCGCTCCTCGTGGCGGTGCCGCGGCACAATCATAATAATCATGATAAGAACGCGCGGCACGTGCATCCCCTCCAATGAGGAAGGATTTCGTGAGAAAGCAGCGGCGCGTGCGCACTGTGGAAATAGTACCGACCGATACCTACCGACACGTCGAATATGCGTCAACCATAGCCGACCGCATTTACGCTGGCAAATGCGTCTAAAGCACCGCTCCTCTCGCACCCCTCGACTAGTCGGCCGCCTTCCGGGGATTTAGACTCTCGCTGCAAACCGGAGACTCGTCGCCACGTGACTCACATTTCGCGAAGCCTGACATAACGCTCTAGAGTTTTCGAATATTACCATTCTCAATCCCAGATAGGTAAATGAGACAATAATGGACGAATTAAATGTATAAAACAGGAATTGACAATGAGAAAAAAAAAAGAATTGAACCAAAGAAATATTTCTTTAATAGTACCGAAGAAATAATTCGTTAATTCAAAGAATTTGCGCTAAGATGAACTCAGATAAATTGTCATTCCGAGGAAATATTGTGCAAAATTTATTGGAATTCTTTGAATTAACAAGATATCCCATTGGTACTGTTCAAAGAAATATCTCTCCGGTTCGATGAAATTTTATTCGCAGTGTAGCTATAAATAAAGGAAAGGGATAGAGAAATTGTAAATGGAGACACGTACGTTCTCGGAATTTAACTCGTGGCAAGGGTGTACGTATATCTGCTTACTTATCTGCCCACCTCGTTTTTGTTTAGATTGTAAATCAAGGTGAATGCATTCATGCTGCGCCTTTCCCTGGCCCGTGTTTTGCATATCGGAGTCTTATTGCAGCGTGACTCATTTTTCGCAATCCGGTGGTCTGAAAACGCGCGAGCACCGTCGACCGCCCTTGTACGACCCGTTGGAACAATTTATCATTGGGTATCTCGACGAATAAACAAGAAAACAAAGGCTATTCTTAACCGGCAGTTTTATATGCGCGGTACCTATTCGAGCAACGTGAGACGTTACGTGAAACTTATCGCGACGCGCCTTAATGTCGGACAATTCGCGTGCTGCTGTCACTTAGACATAACAAGTCCTCGTAACGAGCACGGACGAACGTTGCGAGCGTCTTCGGGATTTCTATATTGGTTACGAAATCTATGTCAACCGGGTTTACAGGATTACAGCCACGTCGGCGGCACGTGGCGAAAAACAAATCTTTGAGGAACGGCTCGACCGAAGCGAAACAATCGATTTCCTCCTCCAAGGTGCTTAGATTTCCTGGGAAATATTTTCACTTTTTACAGTCCATTTGACACTCGCATTTATGTCCGAGCCGTCGATGTAAATCCGGGCGAAGAACGACATTAGGTTGGCGACGAAGTCGAGGGCAAGAAGTGCGAACGAGCAGGCGCGTCATGGAGACGTGCGAACGAGGGAGATAGAGAATCTGATTTGAATGAAGCCGAGGGGGAGAGATATGAAAACTTGAAGACGCCAAACGGCTGGATCGATTCCTGTAAGGGGACGGAAAACTAACGTGTATAAAATAATAGCTCGAGAAGGGACCCGCCAAACGACATACCTAGCAATAAGGTTATTTCGTTTCCACTATTAAGTTTTTCTACGCACTCTGCACGAAACGTCGCCAACCGAGTGTCAAAGTACAGTAGACAAAGATAACCTAATTCGCTACGAGACCGCGTCCGGCGTGCGGCCGATACAAAGGACGCGCGTCTCGGCACTCGAATGGCCGCGACGCAGAGGTACGGGTATAATCCAAGCCTCCAAAAGGTAGGATCAGGAATGGTCCGGTATGGCACAGTGGTTAGGATACCCAAAAGGCTAAATCGGCGAGCGATCTTCCGCAAATATCCGACAGGTAGCGATCGAGGCGCCGCTCGGCGGTTGCGTAGGAGAATCGGGAAGAGGCGGGCGACAAAGCGGGGAAAGAGGGCTCGCACGTGTAAGCGAAGCCCCCACTCCGTCGTCGGCTGAAAGGAGCGTCCTTCACCGATCTCTCATCCCCGGCCCTCCGACCCGACCCTCATTCGACCGACTGTAACCTCCCTTCCCCCGGCAGCCGGCGCCCGCCGCCCGACGACCGGCCGTCCAATCCCAAACGGTTGCAGCTCCACGTGGCCCCGACAGACGTAATCGATGCACGTGCACTATATACGTCCGCCGCGGAGCACGGGAGTACGACCTCCGTCCCCCTCTCTCGCACGCGCACGCGACGCCTCGCGGCGTTTCTCTCGCTCGCGCCCTGCGAGCGGAGCGTTGCCCCTCCGTCCCTCTCCCTTTTCCGCCTTCCTGCCGCTCTATCGCGCCCTGGTAAGCGACACTTTACGGCCGTTCGTTAGTCGGACGTGGCCGGGACTTCGCTGCGCTCCGTTTCGGCGGGGGACCAATGGCGTAACCTACTTGGAACGGGGCGCACGTGGCTTCCGAAACATTGACGGTTGTTTACCATCTTTTTATATTCTTTCGACGACTCCAAGGCTCGCGGGATAAGAACCTCCTTTTATAATAGATTTCTACATATATAGCCACTTCGTCATTGCTGATTTTAATGTATGTTCCATATATTTTATTGAATGTAGCGAGACGTTTTATGGCTTATGGGCCCGAGCGACGGTAATAATAGCGATAATAAAATGGATTTAACGCATGTCGCCTCTTTTATCGTCCTTTCGCCAATTTTGGGCCTGTATATAAACGGTAGTTGATAAAAATCCGCATTAATGCGCGACGTCATTACGATGCTCGTAAATTATATAGACCGGGGAATATCGGGACCCGAATGCGGTCTGTATGGCGGAATAGTCGATGGCTGTAGGAATCAAGACGTATCCTTTCGCTCCTGTTTAGTAATGCCATAAGCTATGAGTGCGTGAATAAAACAACGCGCATTCACGACTCCTGAATAAAATGTATGCTAGCGGCTTCTAACGCGTCTAGAACTTCTCTTAGGTCTCGTGCAACTGCGGGTAAATCCATTTGCACCTTAAAGAAAATAATTAAACGGGCTAACGTGTGATTATATGCGATCGAGCGTCATCGCCCATTCGAGAATTCGCGTAATTAGAATTTTCGGAATTGCGATGGTAAAATGTCTATTCTGTAGCTGCTCACGTGCGATTCTAGGTATTTAGCGAATCTTTCGCCGTGTAAGAGAAATAAACTCTTCCTTCCTATAAGGCAAGGCGAATAGGTATCGAGTTATATGTCTGGTAAAGTCACCTAACGTGTTGGCGTCCGAAGATTCGATCCGGGAGCGCTTTTGGACTGGAAATTTCCGCAGTCCGTTGACTATGTCTCTCGTAGTCGTGGTCGGATCTGTGGATAACTGGTAATGGTCCGCAGGGCATTCCTTTCACCGTTCTAGTCGCCTTTCTTCGCCCTTTGGCGAACTTTCCCCTTGGCCCTCTTCGACGCCATCGAGATGTGTCTCCTTTTCACGTAGCTCCTTCTGTGGAATTAACCAGATCTTTAGCTTACCGTTTTTCTACTTAGAATATAGTTCGATAAGACTGTATCTCCTGGCACGTCTTAAATTTTGAGTCAGAAATTCTGAAATTATCGTTCCAGTACAAATCATATTTACATAGAGTCGAAAAGAGGTTATGTTGGCTTATGTACATACTACGAACATACTTTGCGTGGCTTTGTTCGTTCGAGGAATTTTATTTCTGCGTAACGTCCCATTCAAATTCAAATAATTGATTGCTCGGCTCGAGTAATAAACTTCAAGGAGGTTGGAGAATCGCTCACGGGGTGGCGTCACCTTCTTAGAGTAGAATTGAAGACAGAGATGAGTTAGGTGATTGCTCAGGGGCAGGGTCGCGCGATCGCATCCTGTGCTGCCCTCTGGTTACGTACGTTACTTTTCATTGTTTTTTGTCCCCAAGGACTGCGCAACGAATATCTGGTAGGGGCTCGCGCACTCGCGATGGCGGTGCCATCTACCAGTCGACGTTGACGGCTCACGTACTCGTGATGGTAATACCATGCCCGTGAGCAATCTCCCAACTCATCTCTGTTGCAGAATGTCGGTTACGAAAACTGAATTCTAATGATTTCAATTTCAACAATAATTCTAGCGTACCATCTACGGATACGTTACAGATGTTAAAAGTTTCTCACTTGATCAAAACGCGAGGAAGAAAAGTAAGAGATGACGGACGCGCCATCTCGCGATCTACGTTTGAAGTACGTAGAAAGAGTCGACTCTCAAGATCAAAACAGAAGAGTCTAATAAATTGTCATTTCTTTAATAAATGGAAAATGACTTCTGGACTGTCAACAAATTCTTGATCGTAACGAAACGGTATTGAAATTCTTTGTAACTGTGTATTTCTGGAAACAGTATTTCTTTCTTTTACTGAAACGTGGAGGTTTTATAGCCTAAGGTCTCGATAGATATCTACCTATGAGATACATGTCTTTCAAAAGATATGTACACGTTTATTCTTAATAACGGACGCTACGGACCCAACAAAAAGAAAAGATCGACGGAGCAACGATATTTCAAATAATATATCGGTCATGACCGATTAACACTGTTTCAGCCATATCCTCTCAAGTACCGGGGTATCGCTCATGCAACCAGTTGCTTCGCCATACTTACAATTAGAAACCCGCGTATAAACTTTCACCGACATACAAGTGAGCTCTGGTCAATAATTCAGTGGTAAACATCAGATAGGCACGCATTTCAACAAGAGTCTAAAGTCTGTATTGTTGTCCGCCCCTTCAATTTCTTCCTCCAGACATGCACAGTCTATCCAAGATTCTTCAGTCATTGTGCCTACGAATTGTCGCTGGGGGCAAGGGTGTCCTAAAAATGTCCAATCGCAAGTATTACACTTCTTCTCGACAGATCGCCTGCCATGTCAAAGGAGAAAGATAACAGGGTGTCTGCAGCTTCATCGAGAATAAAAAACACGATGCAAGGAAGCAATTTCCGGTGTTATTTCTTCAGCGGCCTTGCCGGGGCTCGCGTGGACGAAAATTTGGCACACCGACAACCATGATCGATGGTTGGAACTACCGATGTCGTCGCATTTCTCTTCCGGATCTGCGCCGATATCGACATCTATTGCAATACCAATCGCTTTGTGCCGGTCAGAGACCGACGAGGACTACAGTAGTAACGGTTGCAATGAACTCATCACACCGGTAACATTAATGATAACATTAATGGTAACAATTAGGGCATTACGAATAAACTATAAAACTTTAACGACTCCGTCTCCGTAATTCCATTCTTTCTTCGTTTTCTCGCTGTTTCATGCGTACACCACGCGCGCAAACACCCGTGAACATACACACAAGTACACGTACACACGTACGATTCGAATCGTACTCGCATCTCGTTCCACTTTGCGGTCGCGCACGCCTATTTACATGCATGACGCAATTACACGAGGAACGGAACAGGTGTACACGTTTCCCAGGCAAAGTGTGCTACTGCCACTGTCATCTACGATCCAGTAAAATACTTGGAAAAATATACTTGCTCGTAGGTAACACTTCTTAAGTCATATTATAATCTATGAATAGGCACTCGAGCGGTTTTGCCCCCGACCCGGCGACGCGCCGCGATCGACGCTCCTCGAGGGCGAGATTAACGACGCAACGACCGGCGGTCGACGTCAACGACACAGTGGACGGAAAGAAAACGTTAATCGACCCGCGAGCCGACATCCGAGTCGAGAAGCGCCCTTTAGACCAGAGCTAATTGAATGACCGTAACTATCTCGCTCGTCGTTTCCCTTTCATATCGCCGCTTCTCGGTCCCCGCTGTTAGGTTAGGTGTTCGGCACATGCGACGTACGCAATACTCCCACATTGCTAGTGGAGCGTAAGAACAAAGGAAATTCCCTGGCCGAGAAAGGCGGACAGACGATGTATCCCGGGTTCTGTCAGCTGGTGCTTTCGGTATCATTTTTGGAACGCGTTCATTACGCTTGAATCATGCACCGTTTGCACAATTTCCAAGGAGCCACGTTAACGGACGTGGACGTTGCAAGACTGGTTACTCTGCTCGTTTCCCGTATATACATGATATAACTAAACGTATAGGAATTTTTACGTCGGACGAAATGCCGTCGCTTGCAGCCTGCTCGGCTTTGTCGTAATATTGGAAGTGTAACCAGTTGACTAGCAATGCTGGAGTATTACATGGGTGGTTGCAACGTCGTGCTCCGTGGGTGTTGAGCCGTTCTCCTCGCCTTCGACGTCGACGCAAGATCGGACCTGGGGACATAAGGACTCCCATGCTCCGTCGAAAGTCGAAAGGCCTCGATTTTCGCCCTTGGAGTAGAGAAAGCACCGATCGCTGACTTCTAAGAAGGCCCCTCTGACATCGAGACGGGACCTTTCGTCTGGGTCATCGACGAGGTCCCTCCTCCGTCTCGTCGTAGAGGCTGTTAGGAGATCATCGCCGGACTCTTATGGTGATACATGGTACGGATCAGCCTACCGCACGACCAATGGGCCACCAAGGTCGGCCCCGTCTCTTGGAAGAGGCAGTCAAGCCTTTCATGTCCCCTTACATCCCTTGTCTTTGGGCGATCGCGAACAAAGGGGGCCATTCGCTACGCGGCGATGTCCATGTCCGAGGAGGAGTTGGAGATGGTGGGAGCTAAACTGCCCAGACTGCCGAGGGTGTCCTCGTCGGGCAGTGGGTGATGGCAGGCGGCCGCAGGTGGACTCAGAGGTGCCAGGTGTGGAGACGACAGCATCGGGTCGCCTCCGTGGACCGGACCCCCCACGTCGTCCTCCATCAGATCTTCCAGCTGCGACATGCTCAGAGCCGGCGACTCCTCCGCGAACACGTCCGGAATCTGAAATAATGGCGATTGATCAGAAAGAGCAAATTCCTCGATTCTGTCTAAACAATTCGATAAATTTCTAGGAGAAAATTCGTGTTCCTCTACCAAAAAATTCCTATTAAATTACCCAGGAAAAGTGCTTAAGCGGATAATATTTGACTAGAGATATTTGTATTAATATACATATAATTAGACGGTAAGGGCACGTGCAACGATCCGATTCTGGTAAATTAACCGGAGTCCTGGTTCTTTAACTGGACCTTTTTTAGAGGACTTGAGAAATGGGCTCAGGCATGCTTTTCACCGTGCTATCCCGGCACCCGTTCTTAGGCTGAACGTGGAAAGCGTGCCAAATCTAACAATAAGAAAGCAATAAGAAAGCAAGAAGGCGCGATCGCACCTTCCGTTGTTCGGGCTTGCTCTTGGAGACGGTGCCTCCACCACCTCCGCCCGTCCAGCCGAAATCCGAGACCGGTAATCCGTGAGCCTTGGCTTGCAGCTCCAACTCTTGGACCCGAAGCAGAAGCCTGCGGTTCTGGTGCTCCAGCTGTTTGTGTCTGTGTTCGCTCTGCTTCATCCGCGACAGCTCGTTCTTCAGCAGCTTGATATAGTCCACCGAAGACTTAAGGATCGTACCCTTGTTCGGCCTGACGTCCCTCACGATTTCGTAGTAGCTGTTAACATAAGATAACGTGTAAGCATTGGCGTCGGTGGCTGGCGCCATAACAGGGCTAACAAAGGCCACGTGTTGGCATAAAATTCAACAGCCGGAATCGCTAATCGGAATAGAAACTACGAGTCAATACTCACGGATCGTTGGTCTTAGGTAGCAGAGTACCGAGCTCCTTGATCCGGTCGTTGATGTTGAATCTCCTTCGGCGTTCGACTGAAATCCAAGAAAGCCCTCGATTGAATGAGTTCCTTCTTTTTGCATTATTATGATACCGGTAAATCGATTCCATTACTCACTCATGTTATGATTGTCCTTCTTCTGCCGGTCTTTGGCCAGGGCGTGAATCTCCGCGTCCGTCAGAAGAAGCGGCTCCGGTTTTATCTGGAGGTCCGAAAGACTTCCGCTCTGACCGTCTTTCAGACTGTCTCCCAAGGAGCCGGCCTCGAAAGACAAAATGTCCTCCAGCAGATCCTCCGCCTGAAAGAAGAAGACGTTCATCGATTGCACTCAGGATCGCTCCCGAAGGGGCATATCGACGCGCTTTCCATCCGGCTTTTATTTCCTTTATCGGACCTCCTTCGATCGAGCGCACCTTTCTCCGGCGAGAAACGATTCCCTAGCTCGGAGATACAACGAGGAACTGCAATGTCGATAAGTTAACCGGCGAAAAAAGTTCCATCGACTTGGGACCGCCAACTCGTCGGTGTGGCATACCGATTCCATGCGTCGCTGATAAACCACCGGAACAAGTTCTTATCTGCCTCGATTCAGAAAGCCCCGTACTTCCTAGCGTCTCTTTTTCGACCGTCATTGTTCGCACGTTTTCGACGCGCATTGTTCGCCTCGCGAGCGAAATGCTCGCTAACCTCGCCAGTTGCGCCAGTTGCGCCAGTTGTCAACGTAAACGCGGCCGTAACTGCGACACGCGTACTACGTACAAGTGACACCGGCGTTACGTAAACATTACGTAAAGAAGAATAAGTAACCAATGTCGGCGACGATTTGGACACTGGATTCTGACTGGCATTAACTACGGCGCCGCGAAACCGCGATTAACAAATTCCGCGTCTCCACATCTTAAAGCGATAGGAAAGTGGCATCTAAGAATTCATATATATAAAACTGCTGTAAACCTATACCTGATCGTTTGAAATAAAAAACAAGAAAAAAAGAACTGAATCATAATTAAACAAAAAAAATGTTTAAATGAAATTTCACGAGTGTCAGGACCTCTTCTTTCAGAGCCTCCATATTCACGTGGCAATTCAAATTTAATTGGGTACATTTAAAAGTCGGAGGAAAGTTTCATAAACTCGTGTCGCCTTAGGGAGGGCGCATAAAAACGAATCGAGAAGTTCTCGAAGATGTGCACGAAGAAGGGTCCAGATACGTGGAACTCTTTCTGAATGGGCTCTCGCCCTTATCGTTGATCCTCGCGCGTTTGCCGAGTCGGTGACCCTTGATGGATGAAATTGGTTCGTAACCCGAGGATCATTTTTATCAGCCATAAAGCCCGAGCTTCGACCCATTTATAACAGGAGGGAACGCGGCACTGCACTCGAGCGAACGCACGATTTTCTTCCTGCGGATCTCAATTCACGCGGAACGCCGCGTGTGGGTCAGTCGACGTACTGGCGAATAAATTTGGAGGATAATGGCGCAATATATATCGGCGCGATAAGAGAAACTCAAGCTCCTCTTCCTGGCACCTCGAGGTCCCGTCCTTACGTCACCGGCCGAAGTTTTCCCGCGGATCGGTGCGCCCTTTACGGCCGTCAGTTCGCGCGAGATAAAACTGCATTTAGGATTACGCAACGGCATCGTAATCGCTCGGAGTTGAGTACAACGAGCGTGGAAAATGACGCCGTAAGGTGGGTTTTAATTGATTCCGCCGGTTACGAGATGCCGACCCATCCGGCCGGGTCGTTTCTGGGGTCGCCTGAGTATCCGGATTAGGAAACAATGTCTCGCACAGAAAATCAGCGAGGACCCAGCTAGGACACCGACCGACCTAAATGCAAAGGGCACACCTTTCGATGAGACAAAGATTTACGAGCAATCCCATCCTGAATCTACCTACCACAAGAGAAAGAGTAAAAAGAACCTAGGTAAAACCTCTTCAGTCCAATAAAAAAATCATGTCGATGCGTAACTAAACGTTAAAGGGATGTGAAAGTGACATCAAAGAGGTCTCGTTTATGAAACTTATCTCCCAATTGGATGTACCGAATCATTTAAAACTTTACAACATGAATATAGAGGTTATAAAGAAGGTCCTGACGGCTATGAAGTTTCAATTTTGAGAAAATTTGTTCATAGATATTTTCAAATTTGTCTTATAAAAAAAAATGAAATTTCGCGAGTTTCAGGACCTACCTCAGGGGCTCTATATTCACGGTGTAAAGTTTGAAACGATTCGGTGCGCCCAGTTTGGAGAAAAGTTTCATGAACGATTGACTCCTCAGACGCCACTTTCACATACCCTTAAGGAGGCACTCCTGATAGCGAAAGCCTAGATGAAATTCTTACGGCAACCGTGAACTTTGGATTTATGAACGTATCAAAAAATATTTCTCGCCAATCATCCCTCTCTTTCTCTATCTCCTTTTTGTTGATTTTGCAAAACTGGTGCGCAACGCAATATGGCGGGGGGGTATATACGGGAAGAGGGTCGATAGATCGACCCATGTATCGTGCATTCGTGGAATGAACGTCGAAATTCATTCACAGGTCCTAAAGAAGGCTCTTCCGAATGAATTGTTCGAAATTCCCTGAAAAAGGCCCTCCCGAATGAATTGTCCGAAATTTCCGCGGCGACCCACGCCGCGCCAGGTGGTGGCCGCGACCCCGATTCGCGGTCTATCGCGAGTCTCCTCACGCGGCCACGAGTTAACCTCCAAGAGGAGCGCCGAGCCGCGCCGAACAACCCACTTTCGAGTTTCGAGCGGCTCGGCGATTTGCTCGGCGATTTCCTCGACCCCGCGCCCCGCCTCCACGCGGACGCGGCCTTCCCGGCGAGGTGACTCCGCTGCCGCGGCGCCGTCTCCGAAGACCGCGCAACCGGGACCTTGCCGGACTTTACATAACCCTTCGAACTACGGAAACTATCCAGCGCCGACCAAACATCCGCCGGGAAGAGTAATTGCCGCGATTCCGGCCATTTCCGTGGAAACGGCAATTTTCGGCGCCGCCCGTTATCCGCGAGCCCATCGCGGGAAATCGCGTTAAATTCCCGCCAAGTATTCGAGTTGTCGACCTAATTCATCGCATCACTCGGTTCGAGTTATCGATGAGAAAAATCCGTCTTAATCTCGCAGCCTTGGTGGGTAATGTAACCGCCGAGACGTTATTAACACTATTTCTACCAAAGGTGTCAAGACACCTTTTAAAATTTTAACTTGAAATTATTTTCAAAGTTTGATAATTTTTTCTCAATTAATGTTTTGAGTTTTTGTATAATTGTTAAATTTATTTAGCGGTATCATTTTCCTCCAGCTCATCAGAACCTTTTGGTCGAAATAGGTATACACAAAATCGTGGTAGAAATAGTGTTAAGGAATTCTAGACGACAATCTTGCTACCGAATTTCCTTGTGCATTGTACGAAATGACTGACAAATTTAAAAGGACGGAGTTTGGTCGGACTTTTCCGAGGGATTATTTCTGGGAGACCGACACGTACCGGCGCCGGCCCGACAAAACTTTATGATCTGCGTATCAGTGGCACCGTTCACGCCGACAAAACGTGGATCCAGGATAAGGTGAACGGTGCCATGGAAACGCCCGCAAGAAAATCTCGCCGGATCAGCACCGGTAGGTGTCGGAACGGATACGGGTCGGATAGTAGGAATCTACTTCTGGAATCAAAGCGATATCCCGTCACGAACGAGGAAGGGAACTCGAGCAGATGTAGCCCATTCGAGTGGAATGTAGTAACCCGAATGGTATCAATTGAGCCAGCGATGCGCGTCAGACGAGGCCGAAAAGCGTTTGACGCGACAGGATTCCCCGCGCGTAATTAGATTACAAGCAGGGGAACGAATCGCGCCTCTCGGTGAAAAAGCAGTCGGAGATAAGAGAAGACACACTCGGCGCCTCTCCGCCACGGAGAGGTAAGGGAAAGGGCCGGTTATCGCGTCGGGACGGCTCTTTGCGTTATCTTATCGCGCAGACGAGCCAACGAGCCGGAACAAGGCCAGGAAGGATCCCTCGAAGAGTCCCCTCTCGCTCTCACCTTGTTACACCTCCTAGCGATCACGTTGAAGACCGGCATCGTCCGTGTAGGCGTCTTGCGGCGATCGATCCCGGCGATCGATTCGGCCGCCGATTCGTCAATCGATCCAGTCGGCGGCTCGGCCAGGGAGAAAGCGAGGGAGAGAACCGACGAGCCGTCCGACGACCCGGGCGAAGATCCAGGAAAAGAGTCGCCGGAAGATCCGGCGAGGACTCCGGTGAGCGAGAAAACGGTCGACTCGGTAGCCGATTCGACTAGGAAGCCAGTGAGCGCAGGCGCGAGCGATCCATCCGACGACTCTCCGGAAGGCCGGTCCAGCGGCGACGAGGCGGTGGACGACAGAGCCAAAGATTCGGGCGAGGAGGCGGCCAGTAGGCCAGTCAGCGCCAGCGCGAGCGACCCATCCGTCGACTCGGTGGAGGGTCCAGTCGGCGGCGATGCGGGCGGCGAGCCCGCCGAGTCACACCCGGCTATCGGTCCGGCCAGCGCCACGAGGGGCCCCGGTCGGCCCGCTGGTCCGAGGAGGGCGGCGATCGGAGCGCCCCTGGCGGCCGAGAGCGGCCCGGGGGCGCGCGAGACCCACCCTCGCGGTCCGGCGGTCCCGCGGGTAGTGAGCTTCCGCGTGGACGCGCACCCCTCCCCTCTACCGTCCTCCCCGCGGCGGCTCGAGGATCGTCCCAGGATGCCCGGTGCACTCGGGAGCCCGCATGGCCTCAGCAGTCGCCCGAGGGACGTCGACCCCTCCCGACACACCGAGAGTGGACCGCGGCCGGACGCCAAGCTCGAGTTCGGGCACCGATCGTCGCGAGTCGTTGACTATTCGGCGAGTCGGGAGCGCGTTCGCGCGTCAACCGCCACGCGAGCCTGGCAGCGCGGTAGGGGCGACCCTTCCTCGTTCCCTCCCCTACTTGCGTAACCGCTAGCGAGCGAGCGAGCGAGCGAGCGATCGGCCCGATCGCCTCTTCCGCGTCGCTCCTCCGCGACGCGCGGCCGTCGCGTGCCACCCCCTCCCCCCTTGGAACGGGCCCTCCACCGCGACGCCGCTGCGACGCCGTCGCTACTCCACTTTCGCCACTCGGGGCCGCGCGGTTTCGGGAGCACGCCCTCGGGCAGAACCTCGTTCCTCCGCTTGCTCTTCCGACACCGTCGACTCCTGGAATCTATTCCGCGCCACGTTCTGCACCTTCTCGCCCACTGATCGGCCCGTTCGGTTGAAAACGTCCCTGCGCCGTTCCCTATCGGCGCTCGGATAATTGCTCCCACCTGCGCGCTCGCCCTCTCCCTCCGACTCGCGCTAGCGTCCGTTGCGCTCGCTCTCTCCCTCTCGTTTGCTCCCTAGCGCCGCGCAAAGGCCTCTATCGCGAAGGCCACACAGCCGGCACGCGCGGATGCCGCGACGGATGCGAATTCCTCCGTACGAGCCGCGCGCCGATCCCGGTGCGAGATCCGTTCCAGCTGGAGATCCGATTCCGCGGAGGTGCCGACTCCGAGAAATCCTCCGCCCGCCCCACTCGGTGATCCGCTCCGCTATCGCCAAGGCCGTCTCGACACTCGGAAGACGCCTTCGTTGGCCGTGCTCGGCTTCCCACCTCCGATCGCTCCTATCGCTCCTATCGTCCCTCCACGAAGCCGACCCGAGAGCCGCGAGTGCTCGTTACCTGCCGGTGACAACGCTCGACTTTGCGTCTCTTTTTTCCTCCCTCCCCTCCACCTCCGCCAATTGAGGAAATTGGCGCCGAGGGCGACGCTTTTCCTCGAAGGCCTTCGCGGTCGGTCCGCGAATTCTTTACGGGGAGCTCGGGGAAGACCCGGCGACGAGTCGCGGGTTTCGCGAAAGTTAATACATCCACTCGGACGCGTACTCGCGGTCGAATCTAGCCGTTTTTATCATAACTCGAATTTTAAAGTCCTTGGGGCATAGAATTGCAACTCGAGTCGACAACTCGAAATTCAATTCAATTTCGAATTGACAAGTATACGATTAGTCATCGACTGCTTTCTCTAGGCCGACTTTATGAAGGAAATCGCGCCGGATGGTCGGGACTACAAGGAGGAAAGTGTTGCCCGAAACGACGCCCGGACAGGAGTGCCTTCCCCCACCACGCGCCGTGAGTTACGAGATCGAGGGGAAATCGAGTGCGCGCGCACGCGTGCCTCGTTCCGATTGGCCGGCGCTTTCCCGCGCCAATGGCAAGCGGGTCACGTGGCAGCCGAGTGCGAGGAGAGGGGGAAATCCAAGAACGCTCGAGATAAGTGTCCTGGAGGATAAACGGACGATACTTGACTAGCTGGAAAAGGATCGGCCACCGTTACGAGACGAACGACCTTAGCCGCGATCCGGAATGAAATAATTAGATATTGCGACCGACTGGCGCTCCAACTTCCCGCTCCGTCAGGAAAGTCAACCCCGGAATTGTCGCGCCGCGTCCCGCGAGGTCGGTGAGAGGAAAGAGACCGGCCGAGACTCGGAGAAGGAGAGCGAACGAGATAGGAGATTCGCGAACTGAAATCGGCCATTTGTTCCGCCACCCGCCCAGAGGCGTTTAAGAATTCACTTAGTGCTCTGACGCTCCTAACTGTTAACGCGTTGCGCCTCTCGTTAGCGGAAACCTCCTTTCGGGCGACCTCGGGGCGAAACGTTTCCACGACCTCGGATAAGTACCCAATCGTTTGACACGTCCTCAACGAGAGAATCGCTCGCGGCTCCTCGGTACCTCTTCGAGGTGCCGAGGATTTTTTTCTTTTTTCTCTCTCCTCTTTATGGAGCGTATGGCAATGACGCCAGCGCCGATGCCTAACGACGCCCCTTCCAAGGTGCGCAAGGTGGAGAGACACTTGTGCTCACCTCACTTCCTTATGCTTGTGTCAAGGACCACGAGCCAGCAAGGAATAGGGCGATCGCGATGTTACGTCGCGGAGTAGAGACCACGGTCTTACGAGCGACTCCGAAAACCCCGGGAAATTATCAACCGGCGGAAAGGGCGGTTTTGGTCGCCATTTTTCCTTCCCAAAGCCGCCACCGTAAGGCGCAGCGATAAATCGAGGGCCCGTTAAAGGTGACTTCAAACGATTATTAATTTCTACCGCGTTCTCCTAAAGCGATCGCAAAATCTGCCTGCGCGCGGGAGCACGAGAATGTACCCCAGATTAACCTCGTTAAATCTTACATAAACTTGAAATAGGTTTCGCAAGTGCAAAAAAAAAAAAAACCGGTGTCCGAAAGTTTCTTAACCGTTTTAGTGCCAGGGGTTTTTAAAAATCCGTGTCGGATTGTGCCATGAAGCGCGATAGCGTTGCGAATTGACGATCGGGACCAAACATCGCGACACAGCTCACCACAGTACGCGAAAAGCGCGATCGCGCTGCGTGGCACTAAAACGGTTAAGAATTACGAATGCCTTCTCGGTATGTCTGCACGAAAGGCATGTCCGCCTTTCGGTCGGTTCCGTCTTTTCGATCGGTCCTTCGGGTTCGATGCGTCGGTGCGACGTGGCCGACGCGCGCCTTACCTCGGAGTTGCTGGTAGTGACGCTGGAGAGTCCCGGCGAGACGGCGCCGGTTGGCAGGGTGTTGGGCGGCGGGCCGGGTAGCGCGCCTTGCAGCGCACCCGGCAGCGCGCCTGGCAGCGCGCCTGGTAGCGCACTCGGCAGCGCACTGGGCAAGATAGGGGGCGCGGGCTTCGGGACGGCGGAGTCCGGGCTATCGGCCAGCGCCAGCGCGGCGAGCGGTCCATGCGGGTAGGAGGCCAGATGCGGGTGGACCGGCTTGCGAGGCGGATCGCGAGCGGCCGGCCCGGGCGGAGCGCTGCGGACCGCGCTCGGCATGGGCACCGTCCCGACCAGAGCGGAGACGGCCTCCTCCTCGCAGCAGTCCTCGTCCCCGTCCTCGTCCACATCACCCTTGCCGTCGCCGTCCCTGTTTCTGGCCGCGGCGTCGTCCGCCCCGCGGAACGACTCATGCAGATACTGCCGCACCTGGTTCTTCTGCTTCTGCACCACGTGGTATCTCGTAGGGTTCTCCAGCAAGGTCCGCACCTGCGAATAAGGTGGATAAATAGGTTTGGTGCTTTCTCAACATCATAATTCCAAGACGAGACCATGACTCGGGGATGCAAGACGAAGGGCTATTCATTCGGAAATCGATAAAAACGACTTCCCTCGGGGACCGATTGCCTTTCATTTCTTTACGATAAACGGCAATGCATAAAATCGTTTCGGTAATATTCGGTGATATTCGCCGATTTCCAACGATTCTCATTGATTTCGAGCGTCAAAGTCCGTGATTCCCTGAGTGAATAACCCCTCGATGCGAGACCAAGATCATGGTAGCCTCGTCGCTAGAGATAGCAACCGCTCGGTCAATGACTGCGGCGATCCTCCCACCATCGCCGCTCGTATCTAGGCACGCTTCGGGGGCTATTTGCGGTTGGGCAAAATTCTAGCGACGCGGTGGCAACGAAATAGGCAGAGGGGTATACCTGGAGGACCTGGGGCGGCACGTCTACGCCAATAGTCGGCAGAGGTGTGGGCGGGACCGGCCTGGGGAGCGCCGCCTGGGGCCTCTGGTGCTGCAGGCTCTGCCGCAGCTCGGCCTCTCGTCTCTCCTGCTCCTGCAGCTGCTCTCGCATCAGCTGCAGCTTCAGTTGGGTCCGCGAGGTCGGAGTCGCGGTCTTGAAGGTGGGCGGGCTGAAAGAGGAGAGTCATCGTCATTGCGCCACTTTCGGCTGAGACAACTGATAACGAGAGAATCGGTAAAACGCGGTTTTCACGGTCCCACCGAGTGCGGCACCTCGACGCGTCGAGGGGGACGAAACGCTCAACCGCGGGCGTCACTTCCGCCTGTTTTTTATCCTCGACGGCCGGCGCGCCGCATTCCGTGCGACACCCGACGCGCTCGTCGGGAGTGCGACCTCATTCCGCAAAGATGTGGTCAAACAACGGGAGGGAAGAATTATCAGGGACGTCGATAAAGTCGGTCTACCTCTTTATCCGCGAACCGAGAGAAACGGATTGGCACGTCGCGCGCCAGGGAGCTCTCGCTCCGTCGGTCGTCTCGCCGTCTCGCGGCCGTCTCCCCTCTGCGACCCGACGCGGAAATTCTGGGATCGTTCTCGATCGCGGCGACGCGACGCTCGGTCCGCCGAGATGCGTCTGCTCGGAATAAAGATGCGCGGTTCTAATTCTGTCCCGACCCTGCCTACGGTTTCGTAACGAACCGAGCTAATGTTAGAACCGTCGGCCTTGAGCTTGACTCGTTCCGACGGAATCGCGCGCGGAATACGGCAAGGGTTCCAACTCGAGCCGAGTCCGCTTCCTCCTACGGAAGAAACCTCGGCGGGCCCGGCAACGGCGCAGCGCGCGGAGCCGCCGGACCTGGCGGGGCGTGACGCCGATAACGATAACCGGAGGCTCGTGCATACGCCGAATGCAAGCGATAACGAGGCGACGACGCCTCGCAGCGGTCCCCGAAGGTATCTCGACGGCGTCGTTTCGTAATCGACGATAATAAAAAGAGGAGACGGTAACAATTGCAGCTACGACGACCGGTCCTCCTAACGCACGAAACGCGAGAAATTCGCGGCCGCTCGCGAGAAGTAGGACCGCTCCTCCGGCTTCGACGTGGCATTGAGAAAAAACGTCGGTCGGGCGATAATTGCCGCAACGCGTCGTTCCGAGAATTCCCCGGGCCGTTTGCGTTTGGCCGCGAGCTCGCCCGAAACGGAGACCGGGTTCGGCGAGGGATAGGAGGTCGCGGAGATGATACCAGTGGAGGATCGGAGCTGCCCACGGGGTGTCTGCCGCGAGCGGAAACCCGTCGACGGCAGACGGGTCCATGTCCTCGTCGATCTCGGTGCGCGCGCACCCCCGGGGGTTGTCGAGGACCGAGAAGAGGGGGGGATTGGCACGGGGCGCGACTCCGACTCGACGGTCCGCGGCGGCCGGGTCGCATCTCACGGCTCGACTCGGCCACTCCGGCGACGCGCTACTAAAACGAGCGCTCGGCTCGAGCCAGCGCCGACTGCCGTGACTCGCCTCTTTCCGCGGGCGCGCATTCGTCCCGGGCCTTTTCTCGCTCCGAGTTTTCGTCTCTGCGCGTCGCTCGGGCCCGCCGATCCTCCCCCTCCAGCGGCCGAGCGACGACCGACAGGACGCGCGGCACCCCAGACGCGCCTAACCTCCACGCGGCATCCGCGACGCGACACGTATTTTCAATGTATCGCAGTGAATTTCAGACACTTGTCGTCGGTAACCGTTTGCGGTCGAATATCTAGATCGGTACCCGAGCCACTGCAGTTTTCACAAAATCGAAATGAGGTTTGGACATCCGTAGCGGGAGTAACCGCTTGATATTGGACGTCTTAACCGGCAGCTGGGCCACTTGGACCACTTAACATCCACGCGAAGTCTGCGCTGCGACACGTGTTTTTAGAATAATCCCAATGACTTTCAGACATCCGTCATGGAATAACCGCTTAACCCTTCCGCTACGACGGGTGACTATAGTCACCGTACGTTTGGTCCAATATTGCCTGCACGGTCAGGCGAATTTCGCCCATATGTCGAAAAGGCTCCATGATCAAAGGGTTAATATTGGACGTCTAGACCGGTAGCTGAGCCACTTATACCACCTAACCTCCACGCGGCGTTTGCGCTGCGACACGAGTTTTCGAAAAATCGCAATTTCTTTCGGACACCCGTCGCGGGAGTAACCGCTCAACGTCGGATGTCTCGACCGGCAGTTGGGCCGCTCAGGCCGGCTAACCTTCGCGCGGCGTCCGCGCCGGGGCACGAGTGAACGGGATCGAGCCGGATCGAGCGGGAGCGCGCTCCCCCTCGCTCGGGCCGGGGGAGAAAGTCGGTCCCTGCCGTACCGGCGACGCGAAGGGGCCGGAAAGCGAAAGCAAAAGCAAAAGCGAAAGCGAGAGCGAGAGCGGCCCCCAATGCTCCCAAGGCCGCAGTAGCCGCGGGAGGGAGCCGCGTCCTTCCCAGACGGCCGGGCTCCGGTCGATACCGATAGAACCCTGTCCGATCGCCCGAATTTCGACCTCGACGGAGGAGGCTCGCCGGAGGCGAACTTCGGACCCGCCTCTTAAGCGGCCGGAGGTTGTTGTCGTTGGCATTGTTCGCCGGCGTCGTTGTCGTCGTCGCGATCGTTAACGAAACGATGCGGCGGCGAACTCCGTTAATCGACCGAGTTAACCCGCAATTTCGTCATTGAACGGCGTGCCTCGGCGGTCGTCATGCGGCCGCTGCTCGACCGGCTTGAAATCATCTCGTGGTCCGCGGGTCAGGGGGACTGGAGACCCTTCGTAAGAACGAAGGCCAAGATACGCCTGGATTTCGGCCCCCAAACCCTCAATCGGTGCGACCACCACGCGCGGCATTTTCCCACAAATAACCGGATCGTTTCACCTTCCAACGATTTACCTCCCTCGGGCTATCTTTTAAATTTCACTTAAGAATCTCGAATAAAAAGAATTTCTCCTCGAAACGGAATCGCGTGGACTTGACATAAAGCCGTACCATATCCCCTTGTCTCAATGTCATCCACTGTAGTGTCGAAAATATCCTCTGGAAATATACTGAACGTGATATATCGGAAATATACTAGATTTTTTCTCAACGATACAGAATCTGAAAATTTCCTGTACGAATATCTTTGGAATAATTAATTTCGGTGTACCAAAGGTATTTGTTGTCGGATATCTTTGTATGTCATCGTGTCGCGTACATTGACGGACACTAATGCCCTCCCTGCAGACGCCGCCGCGGGTGCGCCTCGAGAGAGTACTCGTGTATGTCGGTGTATACCCGATAAGAGGTTAAGGTGGACTCGCTCCGGTCTTCCCTTAAAAGGACCAGCAAGAGGGACAGGGTCGACCACGGAAGATATCCCGGCCCGGTCGAGGATCCCGTTTCTTGATCCGGACGAGGCACTCCCGTCTGCCGAGATCCCGATCGCGGCCAAGGAAAAGGTCACCGGGGAACGCGATCGCCGCCCTCGTGACTCGTGGATATATCCGAGCTCCCGCAATCGCGCGAAAACGTCCCGTCGCCGAGCGATACGGCCCGCTGATAAAGGCCCCGAAAACAGTCGCGTCGGAGGCTCGCTCCTCGCTTCCGGTCTCGAGTTCGTTTCCGAAACGGTGCCACTCGTGGGAGACGCGCCGAGGAGCGACCTCGGAGTGACATTCCTCCGCGAGCAATTGCCTCGCCAATTGGAACTCAAAGGAACTCGATTGGAATTCAAAGGAAGGAGCCGCGAGCCGCTCCTAGGCATCCTTCCACTCCTCCGTCGACTCCTTTGACTCATTCGACGAGAAGACCTGCCTAGGCTCGACTCTTCCCGACACGCTTTCCAGTTCCTAAAAACGCGAGTAACGGCAGAAGTGAATTCCCCCGGATTGGGTCGGACGAAAGTATTCGGTTCTCCGGAGCGTCCACGATTTTTGTCGTTTAACCTTCTCATACCGATTGGCCTCTCAGGCCGACGACACGCGAGAAACCATTTATTTCAGGATTAGCATAAGGTATAGGAAGGTTAACAATCGACGATTTATATTCAATTGAAGGTGTTCCTCCGGCATGTGCAGGTTATACTCCGATTTGAATCGCAAACTTCGCTGTAGGTCCTGATAACGGTAGTCGCGGATTGAGTATCTGTCTTATTTGGACCGATTTAGAATCAGATTTGGTCAATTTTATTGTACAGGTGGAGTGGGCAACTTTTCGAATGTCAATTTTCTTTTTTATGTCAAATTTCTACGTATTTTGACTAGTTGGATAAAAAGCGTGGTATTATTTGTGGGATGGTGCAGTACTGTCGGCACCATCAAGGTACATTGTAGGCGCCGGAATACTCGGGAGAATCTCACGAAGCTTTCTAGTAACCGGCACGTCCGCGATCCGCGATCCCTCCGCACTCGGGCCCGCGTTTCGGCCGCGTTTCAACCGCGTTGCATCCGCGGGCACGCCGTGGGGTCGTTTAGACATTTAAGCGAGCAAAGGCGTTCCAGTAACGGGCACGTCCGCGTTTCATCCGCGTCTCGTCTGATCGGGGCCAACGGTTGCAACACGCGCAATTTCCCCACGTATCGAAGCATCCTTAATCTTAACCGATCCTCTTCTCGATCTCTCGCTTTCATGCCTACATGCAACATGCACCTCGAATTCAAAGGAATCCATTTTTTTTTCGCGAGAAAAGGCGGTCGACGCCGCGCGAGATTACCTATTTACGAGTAATTTGCGCAACGATGCGCGCGCTACCTCCGAAAAGCCATAAAAGCGGACTCCTCGAAACGCCGGCGAGCTTCGCTTACGCGGAAGCGACATAGAATATGCGTCGGAATTTCGCAAACGCTCCGTGGTAATGCGTCTCCCGGTCCAAGATGGATATAAAGCGCGTTGTCGACCTATCGGCGGTCATTCCCGGGAAAATTTTCCTCCGCCTCTCTGCACCGAGGGCGGCTCGCCGCGCCTTTCGACGTCCTGCAGCGACATACTTTTGAAACCTTAATTATCTAATTGAAATTCCTCGTTGACGTGCCGACCGCCACGTCACCCGTATTTTCTGCGACATGTCCCGGGACACGTGCTCGAACGGTCAGCGTGTTAAGTGGAACCTCGGGTTGTGCGGCGACACCACCTTAACCCTGAGTAAAGAAAAAAAGATGGCGACCCGCCTGGCAGTGATTAGGTTGCGTTCAGTCCAAGTCGATTCGAGGGCAACGCAGGAACCGTGGCGGCTCCACGACCTCTCCGCTGATATCGTTACGTGCCACTCGCGAATTACGGTCCCACCGAGCGCGTCAAACGGTCGCACAGAGCGCGGCGCATCGACCTATCGAGAACGAAAAACCAATTGAAACGGCGCTCAAAGTACCGCAGAACCTTCAAGAGCGATTCTATCAAATAAGAGATTTTGTTAAAAAATTACTCCCCTGATCTAAAATTTTAGCGCATGCCGCGTGAGCATTCAGGACACGTCCTCACGGATATAAAGAGAAAATTTCTAAATAAAAAAAAAAATACATTCTGCCCCATTCTCGCAAACCCCCCACAAACCTCAAGTCCCCCCTAATCTCCAAGACCCTCCCACTCTGAATATTCCAAACCCACCTTCACTCGCTCCACTTGCCTCCCTGCAATAAATAGATAAAGAAAATATGGTCGTAAAGAGCTTTGACGAAAAACGCAATCCAAGTCGCAGCCTCGTGGGCGCAGGCTCACACGGCGGGAAAAATCGAAAGGGAAGAGGTCCCGCGAGAATCGCATCTGGCAGATAACGACGCGCTCCGAAGCTGCAATCATCCAATTGAAGCTCCTCGTCGGCGGCTGCGTCATCGGTGCCCGAAGACGCGTCCAAGAACGAGCGTATCGCTGCGCCGAGTCCCGAAAAGGATCCGGGAAAACGCACGGCGCCATTGGTTTCCTTTGATGGAATTCATCGTTCGTAGTTTCACCGAGAATCCAGGAAAACAAATACGGCAGCGATATTTCCCGACGATGAGATCGAGACGATTCGAAGGCGTGCGCGGTCCCATCGGGGATCGCCTTGGCGGTGCCAAGCACCAACGGAGGTGGCGGCGTCGCGCGCCGCACGCGGCCACCGCGTGTCGGCTCGAGGCCCGCCCCTGTCCCCGCCGCGGCGGGGGTCCCCCGACGTCATCGCGGCGAAAGTCCGCTCTCGCTCGTACGAACCTGCCGGTGTCGGGCGCGCGGCTCTTCAGCTCGTAGTACATGAAGTCCTGCGAGCTGGAGAGCAGCGAGAGCGCCTGCTCGAACTCGTCGTTGTACTCGAGCTCGAAGTCCTCGCTGGTCAGGGCGGCCAGGTCGAAGCCCATGTCGATTCCGGACTCGTCCATGGCGGTCGCGAGCGGTCGTAGCACCGTCGGCCGGCCGACCGGGCTCGCAGTCCGGGTCTGCGCGCGACACTAGCGAGACTACCCAATCGCGGCTCGCGCGAGGCGCGCGAGGCGCCGCGCCAAAATCAAGCCGGCGCTCGTCTCGGCGAAAGGCGGCCCGGCGACGCCGCGAGAGGGAGTCGGGTCTGCTCCGTTACCGTCATCGCCCCGAACCGGTCCGCTGCCGGCCTGTCCTCCGAGAACACTGTCCGACCTCGCGACTCCTCTTCCCTTCTCGTATCTTCTCGCGGCGCCCCGATTCCCGCCGATTCGCGCCAACGGGCCAGCGCCGACTGACGCCATCTGTCGGCCGCTGCCGACACCGCGTGGCTGCGATCGGTCGAGTGGTTGCCTTGGTTACCGGCGCGGCGTCATGCGAGAGACGGAAGGGAGGACGGCAGCCATCTTGGGTTGCGGCTACTTGCCTACCGTTAACATTCATGTGAATATTCCTTATGGGTGTTATTAGAGGAGACAGATCGGATTCCCGATTGTTTCGATAACGGTTATCTCGGGATTAGAAGCATTAGTTACCTCGATTGCTTCCTTCCGTAATCTCGATTGAATTAACGTATAGGTCCAGAGATGAGGTGCGAGTCGGGGCCGCGCAACGCAAGCTGGCCGACCCGGCTCTTTCCCATCTGGCGCATTCATCTCCTCGTACCTCGATCCCTTGTTCCTGGATTTTCGCGACTACTCGTTTTCGCTCGACGGCGCTCGACGTCGCATGAAATTCATCTCGGCGGAAGCGATTGCCAAATAGATGCTCCTGCTCAAAGTGTGAGATAAATCTGGTTCACAAAAAATAAACGTCGATACGATATAACCGACGGTGCACCAGAGAGAAAGAATTACGACTCGCGATCTGACCCGATGATATTTACGCCTGTATTGGGGCGGTTTTATTGGCTATTAATTAATACGCCGTTTTATCAGGACACTCGCGATGCCGCTAATTGGCGAGGAGTCGAGAGATTTCGGTAGCTGGCCTCGTGTCGCTCACGCAGTTGCAGATTTCGATCACCTCCGAGCGACGCTCAGGGTTAAATTCTTTCGGATGGATCGAGATCCGCGCTCCGGCAATTCGGTCAGTCCCGAAAAGAGGTCAACCGGGCCCGTCGTTTCGACACCCCGAGACGTGTGAAATATCCAAATGCTGACGAGGTGGAATCGACCACGAGACGATCGGCCTCGAGCTTCGAGGAGCGCAGTCCTCGAAAGCACCTGCGCGCGAAATGGAACCAGGAACGGGAAGGGGATCCCCCAGGAGCGTTGGCCGACCCCGGCACGGAAGAGTTCCTTGTCTGATAGTGATCGCCGTCGCTTTCGCGGTCACCCTAGTGGTCGGGGTGCAGGGGAGCCTTCGTTTGCCCTCTAACCTCTCGGAGCGACTCGACGAGTACTGGCACCTGTACAAGGTGAGACGCCGCGTCTTCGGTCCTCTGCGCCAGACCGCACCACCTGAAACGAGGGGAAAGAGCTATTTCGATTTTTCTCGTAGATGGCCTACAACAAAAGCTACACTGGCTCCAAGGAGAAGGCGAGGAGGCTCGCCTGGGAGGAGAACCTTCTCAGGATCTACGAGCACAACGTGATGGCAGCCGCGGGTCACCATGGCTATACCTTGCGCGACAACCACATCGCCGACCTCAGCGTCACCCAATATATTCGAGAAATGGTCGGTAAATGGTCCACCCTATATTTTCCTAGATATTACCAGAGATGCCTCATCCCCGCTTGCCGTAATATTCACGCTTAATTCAATATCTCACGTAATTGCAATGGAGGATATCGATAGCACAACATGATAGCCACCATGGGTACACCTTGTGGGGCAATCGCCGATCTTAGCGCCACCTGATATGTTTGAGAAATACTCGGTAAAATCCCTCCACCCTTGTTTCCCCTATTTCCCTAGACATTCCCAGGAATCTCTTATATTTCTAGCTTGCCGCGACGGCATTTTTTACGCCTAATTACACATAATTGCACATTAAAATATAACAATATTTCACATAATTCCAACGGAGGATTTCGATAGCTCCCGAACGGTGAAGTAACGCTGGATGAGCAACGGTAGTCAAGGCGGACCAATAAGGTCGCGTAGATCGAACTTTAGGAGATAATCCGAGACGAGACCAGACAAATACCGGAGGTCGACCTGGGCGATGCTCGTGCCGCAGGTCAAGCTGATTCCGAGTCGGAGAAGGCGCCTTGCGGACGACCCGATGGTCTCAGCGGTGCTGCACGACCCCAGGAAGATCCCGACTCACCTAGACTGGCGGGAGTTGGGCTTCAGGACGAGGCCAGAGAACCAGAGGGACTGCGGTAGCTGCTACGCCTATTCCGTCGTGGGCAGCATCGAAGGCCAAATCTTCAAGAAAACGGGCCAGGTGATTCCCTTGAGTGAGCAACAGCTCATCGACTGCAGCACCGCCACGGGGAACCTCGGCTGCTCGGGAGGCTCCCTCAGGAACACCATGAGGTACCTGGAGAAGTCAGGAGGACTCATGGCTTCTGCGACCTACCCCTACAGGGCCGAGGTACAAACCTTTCATTACCGTTTTTTACCTTCTCCAAGTGAAACTTTCCATCCTAACGCGAAACGTTTTCCTCATTCCTATTTCCGTTCTGACAGTTAATCACTATTTACATTCCCCGTAGCTCCTTCGCTTAGTTCCTGAAATTTCAAGTGAAATGTGAGAGAATAATTTGAAATAATTAACCCTTTCACTGCTACGCCCTCCAAAATTCATGAACGCGTACGGACAACAGTGGACCTAATAGTGGACGTTCACGGTGAAAGGGTTAATGATATTTAATAATTCTCGGTAACTTATAAGTTTGACTTTTAATGCAAGTAATAGCTGGGTACCGAGTTCTTTCTTTTTTTCTGTTTTTCACAGCAAGGACGATGCAAGTCCCAGGAGGATCTGATGATCGTCAACATCACCTCGTGGGCCATTTTGCCGGCTCGGAACGAGCGAGCTCTCGAGGCGGCTGTAGCGACGATCGGCCCCATCGCAGCCTCCATCAACGCCAGTCCTCGCACTTTCCAGCTGTACCAGTGAGTCTTTTCTTCTTTTTTTCCCTCCCGCGACCTTTGTACCACGCATTGGCGTCCCGATCTATGAGATCCTGACCTTGTTTTCCATCCACGCAGCAGAGGCATCTACGACGACCCCCGGTGCAGCCCCAGCACGGTGAACCATGCCATGCTGATAGTGGGGTACACCCCGACGGAATGGATCCTGAAGAACTGGTGGGGTGACTCCTGGGGAGAGAACGGTTACATGAGATTAGCCAAGAACAAGAACAGGTGCGGCATAGCCAATTACGCCGCCTACGCCCGAGTTTAAAATTCACCCTCGGTACCGCTACGAGATCCATCCTTTATATTTATTTCATCGACATCGTTAAATCGCTGATTCTATCGACTTACTCGTAAAATCATTTTACGACTCTGTGTACAAAGTGTCACGCTGTGCCGCGCATAGTCCAATTCGCGCGACTCCGAAAAATAAAAAGAAAAGAATATATAATAAAAAATAAAAGCGATCCTGACCGAAGCTAAGCACGCCTTTTCCTGCCACGCGCGAATGATAATAACTCGCCATTTCAGCAGTTCACTGTCCATGTAGGAACGGCAACAAGCTCATTGATAGCCTTTATCGACTGTAGAGAATTTACCCGTTTGCCAATTGGATAAGTTCATCTGTATGCCATCCGTGAAATAACAAACAATGGTAATGTTCGGTACGGTAATTTCTTGAGGATGATTATTGGAAATGTGGCATTGGGGGGTACGACCACTCTAATGATGTATTGCGAGGGAGAGAGGCCTTTTTGCCTCGATTTGTGGTTATCTTGAATTCCGCCGAATCCCAGATAAAATATTTAGATAAATACGAGAAATTAGATAAATACGAGAAAAAGCTTGACCTAATCCGGGGTAATGGCCGGTCGACGAGGTTCCGGGTAAGTTCCATAAGCAAGACTCGATATCTCGGTGTCAGGAGTGCATGTAAGTGCACTGTGCGATAGATCGATCTCGCGGCACGAGTTGTACGACCTTGCGACAATCGAGAGCACGGGGTCAAGGATTTACGCTTATTTAGCATTTGGAAATCGACCTTACGGCAACGAATACGGAATCGGAGTTGAGAAAATCGCGGGGGATCAAGGAGAATTTTAATCGGCGGTTTTGCGGGAAATCTTGAAAAAGAGAAATTCCCAGACACTTGGAAACACACCTCGTCGTAGAGCGATCCCGAGTCGTCCGTGACACGTAATCATTCTGAGCATGGATTTATGGTTGAACAACGATGCTCGATACCGTTGACGAATAGTTAACGAACCGCAACCAACGACTATCGACCCATCAGGACCTCATCGAAGGGATTTAAATCACTACGATTTCTATTAAATTCCGTTCCAATCGCGAAACGAGGGTAAAATTCCAAAGCTTGCTGCAAATTCGATCAACCCCGTTCAATTCCCAGAAATAGTCTAACGTAAAAACGAGCCTTCCCTTCCAACGATGCGTTTCCACCCTTCCCCAACCCTTAGGATTCGAAAGACGTCCCTCATCGATGCAATTTAAATTTCTCTGACTCAGCGAGCGGGAGTCGCGTGAAGACCGAGAGGACCATCCCGGAGACGGCGTGTCGGAAAGATAAGTCATCCTAACAAAAGTCACGAGCGAGAATCCTCGTGCCGAAATTGGCGGCGCCGTCGTTATCGAGGCTCGTGATACTAATCACGCCCGTGATTAATCTTTGGTTGTCGGGAGGAGGTGCGATCCGCCCTTTTCGGGGGGTCGCCGGGAGCGAGGCAATTTGGCGAAACGCGGGCGCGCAGGATCGGACAGGGTCGGGGAGGATCGGGCAGGATCGGGCAGGATCGGTCAGGCTCGGGCAGGCTCGAGCCGGCGCTGGCCGGACCCACCGAACCCATACGGGCCCTACGGGGCGGCTCGCGATGCGGGCGGGCACCCGCGGGCCGCGGCAGGCGGTCGGCATGTCGGGAGCGCGTGCTCGCGGCGCTGATATCGCCGGCCGCCGGGCCAATCCGAGCGGGCCCCTGCCCCGGGGCGAAGGTCGCTGCCGGCCGGTCCACTACATGACCGGTCCATCGGCGGAAGTCACCTCCAGTCTTGGTCGGCGCTCGCGTCGGAGATCACCGACTGCACCGGCTGCATCGCGAGCCCGTCGGCGGACAGCGAAGGCCAGATAGCGTAGGACGGACAGCGAGCAGCGGACGACGAGTGGCCAGCGATGAGGCCCAGCTAGTCGGCCCCCACCCGCGCCGATGAGCGCACGCAGGCGGCGTGACCTCGTCCCGTGAGGTGAGCGGACCGCGCGCCACCCTCCCCGCGATGGGGCCCGCAGCCTCCCTGGCGCTCGCCCTGGCCCTCGGGCTCGCGCTGGCGTCGCCAGCAGCCGCCAAGGCCGCCAGCCCTCTGCGCACCGTCTGGTCCAGCCTCTACCCCAAGGGGCCCGACTCCGGCTCCGACCCCGGCGCCGAGTGCGCCGGCTGCGCCCAGAACCGCGTCTCCCAGCTCGAGCTCGACCCCGTGCTCACCGAGCTGCGCGTCGAGTACGTCAAGCAACAGATCCTCAAGAAGCTGCGCCTCTCCAAGCCGCCCGAGGTCTCGCTCTCGATCTCCACGCTACCCAAGCCGCTCGTCAACGGACACGTGCTCGAGCTTCGGCCCGGCGCCCCTCTCGCCCCCGATGCGCAGGCCGAGAGCTTCTATGGCAAAACTGACCAGATCGTCGTCTTTCCAAAACAAGGTATACGGCTGATCCTTCATTTATCGTTCTCGATGCGTATGCCTATATGCGTCCCCAAACGTTGTTTTCGGTATATCATTGGTGTATATATCCCCTCAATTGTACCGTCAACGATCTAGCAGTAGCGTGGAAACGAATTGACGGGGTCGAGAGTGAGCGTTCATTGTCCGACACGTGGATATAAAATATTCCGGGGGAAGGAGGTAAACTATTTTCAATTCGTATCGACTGGGAATTAATCGTGGAAAGACGTTTTTCGATCGATCTGACGCACCGGGTTGAATCAAGGATAGAGACCAGGGGAGTGCTCGTGACTGTAATGCGTTTCTGTATGTACTTGGCGCGGAACTCTGCTGAGATTCTTGGTATCCCCGTTCGGCACTTTCTGGGTCCGGGTTCCCAGGGGTAAATTGGCAGGGGGGCGTTTCGCCCACGCCGGCAATTTCGGCGGGCTTTCCGACAACGATTCAATGCCCTCGTTGCAGAATTACGCGCAAGAATTCCCATCGTGATCGTCGATATTATTTAACCTTCGGATTGAAAATTGAAATTCCGTTTCGCGGGGCGATACGAAATCGCGGAAGTTTAGCCTCGCGTTTTAAGCGCAATCCGGGGACCAATTTTTTGATACGTGGTTGGGGGTCGCTCTCGTAAAGCCGGCAATGCGTTTCATCAGCCTTCGGCGATCGCTTGGACAACGACGCGATAACCTCGTTGGTCTCACGCACTTACTTATTTATACATTCATTAGCGGAATTATCTGGTAATAGAATTCGACCCGACCCCGACTCAACTGTGTTCGATCGGGGAATATTTACATTATTTTAGAGGAACGGCGTAAAACCTCTAGAGACTTCTCGGTCTCTCCGTTCTTGGAGAACAAATCTTGGAATCTTGGAATCAAATTTTGGAACCGATTTTACATCGTCCCTCATGGCGTCGAGTCGACAACCCGTTTCGTCAGCCTTTTGCGATCGTCTCGATAATGTCGCGATAACCTCCATGACCGCGCATACTTTGTTTATCTGCATTCGTACATAGAAAAATGTTGGAGGAATGATTCAACGAGTCCTTTGCTCGCCGAGTAAATAAATGAATAAATAGAAGGTATGCGCCGAGCGCGAAAGGTCGTGTTTCTGTCTCAAGATGTTCCAGCATCTCAAGCTGCCCGGACGCGACCCGCCACGGAAACGATCTACCCAACAGCCGGCAGTGCCAGCAGGGACGAAAACAAGACCGATTATCGCTCGCGGGGACTTCTCGACACCGCGGTCGCATCACGGGACGGCGCGAAGTTCAGAGGGTCGAAAGTCGAGTGGTGCTCGGACCTCGAACCTCCTTTGAGGAATGGCCGCGTAGAAAAAGAAGGAAAAAAAGAATCGCGAACGACCTAATATCGCAGGGGCTCGTCGGAGTGGCCTCGGGCGGCGAGATCGCGAGCACGAATAGAGCTATACATTCTGAATTTTTCACATTCTTTCTATTTTTTTTAGGCGTCACCGATTCGAAGAAGTGCAGGCAGAGCTCGAACCACCTCTCGGGCTTCAACCCTGCGGCTTGCTTCACGTTTTGCCTGCCGAGCGGGATGCAGTTCGTCGACGTGACCTCCGCCGAGCTCTGGTTTTACAAGGAGCCGGACGAGAACGACGTCTTCAACCAGACGTTCGTCCTCTCGGAGGTCGACCATTGGGACCGGGGTGGAGACTTCGAGAAGAACACCATCATGGCCATCTTCGAGACCGCGGTCGGAGGTGAGCCCTCGACTTCGCGTCCCCTTTCTATACCGCGGTACTTATTTGTTTCGTTACCGACCGACGAGCAAAGACCACTCTTTAGCTGCAGGTGACAAAACGACTTATCGATACGGCGATCTTTGCGCTTCGCTGTCTAGATTTCAATCGGTCCTGGTCCTGGTCCCTGATCGAACTTCGAAATCGCTCGGTTTGCCGCGCCGATTACGATGTACACAGGTGGACACCGAGGACATGCAGGTGTCCCATAAAGTTAACTCTATCGCTACGTGGCGGCGTTTCGACGTCGTGACCTCGCAATCGGGAATTAATCATCTACGGAACAGAGTCCGCCGATTACGAGAGGCTCGACTCATCGCCGCTTTGTTTACAATCCGAGTTTCGTAACGGATCACTACGGCAATTTCGCCTCGATGGATCCAAATGCAGTTCCGCCACGTGAAACGGGCAGGAAAGGTTCCTTTTCCCGAGACGCGTTTACGGTTCCTTTTCCTGAGCTGTGTCGAGGACGCCTTTCCTTGGGCCGAAGGTGTATTCTCTCCATTCGTGTGGTTCCAGAGGGCTGGGTTAAGACGGACGTGGGATTCGCGGTGAAGAAGTGGGTGGAGCGGCAGGAGCCGAACCACGCGATGCAGATCGCGTGCAGCACCTGCACGATCGACCGGGCCTCCGCGCCGATCTCCGTCGAGCAGACCCTGAAGCCGTTTTTGGTGATCCACACGTCGCCGCTCCCTCCGAAGAACCGGCCCAAGAGGAACTCCAACTGTCTACCGGAGATGAAGGAGTGCTGCAGGGACGAGCTCTACATAAGCTTCGAGGACATCGGCTGGAGCGACTGGATCCTGCATCCGAGCGGGTACCACGCCTACTTCTGCAGGGGCTCCTGCTCCTCGGCGGCGTCCTTGACTTTGAGCGCCTCGCCCTACAACAACGTCATCCGAGTAAGTACCGGTATTCCGGGTTCGATTTTACGCTTTTCACCTCCCCCGAATGACCACGCGGATTCACGGAGAGAGTTCGGCCTTGCCCGTACCTTGCAGAAGTTCTTGACGAGGAAGGGCCACGTCCTTCATCGGCGCAGCGAGATCGTCCCCTGCTGTTCGCCCACCCAACTCTCGCCCATCCAGCTGCTCTATGTCGACACGAACAACACCATCACGCAGAAGACCCTGCCCAACATGGTGGTCGAGGCCTGCGGCTGCATGTGACCCGGCCGCGACCTCCGCGTATCGCCGCGTCGCCCGGAAGACCGAGACAGTATTCCCCTAGCACCTTAGCCGCTCCGAACCGCCCGGAGGGCGATATTTAATTACCTAATTACGCCTATGACTTGCGGCGCGCCAGATCCGCAAAACTTTAATTAATGCTTATTTATTATCGGCGCAGGCGACGCGTCGCGCCGTCTTTGCGAGTGTGCCGCCCCCGACGACGCGAACGCTTGCCACTCACTCACCCTTAGGTCGATCCTCGCATCCATCCTCGCGTTCATCTCTTCGGATCGATCCTCGCGACTCGGTCCTTATGATCGATCCTCGTCGGTCGAGTCGTTACTTTGCACGCGAGAAACGCTTCCCGGTGACCAAGGCTTCTGCCATTTTGCGCTGTCGAGCGGGTTACTCGATAGATAGTCCAAGGCCAGGTTTTTCCCCAGGGAGACACGTTTCCTGGAAGCCTAGAAAACGAAATGGAATGCTTTATAATGCGAAGAACGTTAAGACATCGCTTCGCTGGATAGAATTTTCAGAAAGGAAATGATTTGTCACGTGTTTTATGTACTTGGATCCAGAATGATGGTGGCCCTCTTGCGTTGGGCCGGATTCGTAAATTGTCAATTTAGTTGCGCGCTCCCGAAGTATCGAAATATCGGCATACCTTGGTCGAGGGTACGGGATGAGTTACAAGCTTCCTAGTGCCTTGTGTAATATTTACATCCGCATTCCCATATGTGGATCACGCTTTAATGACCGTCGACGGAATTCCTTGAACGGGGTTCACGTATGCGTTCCCAGTGTTGGCGACGTGCAATTCCTAAGGATATGTAAAACGGAAATACATGTACGTATATGTAGGCCATGTCTACGGAGATTGCTTTTTATAATATATTAAAATATACCTCGTACTCGATGCTGCCCTTTCAACTCTCGGTTTGATTCTCCATTCCTTGAAATATGTACATGACTTAAAATATCGTTCGACGCAGGTGAAAATTGGTAAAGGTGTACGGTTATTATATTTGGAAATGACGAAAACTTCTTCATTAATATGTTGAGGGAGGAAATTGATGCGATGGGAGATTGATGAAGACTTTTTTTCGTCGTTTTCAGATCATATTTCGGTTAGTGCCGTTTACGATCAAAGGCGGTATTTCTCTGAGCTTTCAGCCTTCGGCTCGGTTCGCAGAATTTTCATACGCATGTAGCAACTCGCTGTCAATATTTCATTCCAAAGTCCACGGGTGATTGCTTTAATTAAGCATGAAGATTGCCGCGAAGAAAAAAAAAGGGAAAATAATTTATTAATAAAGATAAAACGCCTCGACATGTGACATGGTCGTATCGCGACGTAACATCGGTTGACCTTTTCGCGAAAGACGCCTTTCGTAAATCCTGGGTTTTGCGCTCTTATCGACTAGCACATCCGAGAACGTACCGCTGGGCCTTGCCTTTCTGCATACATTAAGGAGAGGGATTCACACGGGTGCGGCACGCCATCGTTATCGCATGAAGAACTTCGGATGGAAGATGAATACCGAGATAACGTCACTTCGTCACGTTGCATTTTGTGCATTTTTTTTTTTTCGTGAAAATCATCGCCAAGACTTACCTTCGTGATGGTGTTTTTTCTCGGGAAACGGGTAATTAATTAATTTCAATTGCAAATATGACATCGGTTGCATTCTGGCGGGCGTCTGTTGAATTACGTCCATCACTGTTGAATAAATCTACCGAGAAATGGTACGTTTAGTTTCGAGACATCTGTAAGGGCGCAGCACGGAATTGCGATCGTGTATCGCTTTGTGAGCAATCTCTGTTTACTAACCTACTGACCCCGCTGCCCCATTGAGGACAGTTGAGGAATGTGAGGAGAAGTTTGCGGAATTCCACAAAAATGTTTCGAGCTCTTGGTAAATCTCATCTTTCGCAGGTGATTTATTACGTTTTTCATTACGTAGAGGTTAGGTGACGAGCTAGAGCTCGGAAAAGCGCCTGCAACGCAGATGATTTTGTCTTAACCTATATTGCGAGTTTCTTGTAATACTTAACATACCTAATTTAACTTTCAGCATTTAAACCTCTGTGCGTTATCGCACAACTACGGTACACAAACTACCTCTAGCAAATGTAAAGCGTCTTCAGATATCTCTAGTGTACCGGGGCTTAGCGAGAACTGCGTAAAGGTCCCAGCCAATCGTGAGTTTCTCAGCATCTCAAATTTATGGTGAATATTTTCAAATTATTCTTGATATCGTTGCACGTACAGCTGTGGGCCCTGGTGCATCCAAAGGAAGCGAGTACAAGAACCCTGAGTACTTTTGCTACCATGCAGAAAGCTTTGCCGAGGCTGAGGTGGAATTAGCTAAGTTTCGACTTCCAGCGCCATCCAATAAGAAAAAATTTGGACAGTGATCAATTAAACATATGAGAGTAATTGATCCAATCGCTTTACCGTCACTGTAGATAGTTGTATAGTATGTTACAATAAATCTAAGCATATTTATTTATATGTACTTATATGGGCGTCTGTTGAATTGGCGACGATGTCGCCGTGGGCATTTTCCTATTGGTTGATCCTAAGATCAAAGTCCCACTGAGCGCGGTCGGTGTCACACAGCGCACATTTTAGCGTCATGAATAAAAGACCAATCAGAACAGCTCTTAGTTCCGTGGTCACTTTCACCGGAATTCTGATTGGTCCGTCGTACCACGCGTTAACGTGCCACTCTCTATGTGACATCCAACATGCTCGTGTTAGGTTAAATTTGAGAACGCACCTCGTTACTCCTGGCGCTGTATAAGAATGATACGCCACAGCTCTGGGCGTTTATTATGTATTTTTGACGAGCGCGCTCACTTCTCGCACTTCCATCTTACGTGGGTTTATTCGCCGAATTACGTATTCGCTATATGAACGAACGAGATCACCAGCACTTTCGATCTCGTAATAATGTAAGCATGAATTATTTAACAGTTTTCAATGTTTAATAATGTAATAAAACTCGCAATAACAAAAACTAACCTGTACATACTAGTAAATTCTCTTTCTTCTCACGAAGATGGGTCTGAGGCATTACGTAATTCTTTTCTTCTTCTAATAAGGTTATTATTAAATCCCCGAATACGATTGTTGCCAAAAATCAAAACACCCAAGAGGTTTTACATTTTGAATTTTGGTATCACAATCCGTGGAAGATGGCGTTCACGGCGCTTATTTTTCTGTCTTTTCTTGCATGCTTCACTATTTCGCTGAAAAATTTGTGTCGAGCCAATTCACGTGAATGGTCTCGCATTTTCACCACTAAAAACGTTCCATAATACCGTCAGCTACTCATTTTTCACATTTTCGCTCAATTTGCTTTACGTAATAGACCCCCTGGCCACAGCGAGAACATTGGAGAACATCGTGGGATGGCACGAAGCGCTGAATTACGGCGCCTCGTGATAACCTTTATTGGTCGAATTAATCTGGGTGATATGTGGACAGCGACGACAACGGCGGCGAGGAGGGCCACGAACACGGGCACGTGCCACGACCTATCCACGATTCAAATGAGCTCGGTTTGCCTCGACCAGCGGAAATTCTCGACGCTTCAAATCGAGCAATACTGCCAGAGACACCAGAAACCGCGAACAAGAAGAAACGACGTATGTCCGGTAGCCGCAGGTGCCAACCTCCGGTGAGGTTATGTTTCCTGTCAGGAATACGAGGCTACATAGTGGCGGTGGCGATAGCGGTCACGGGGGAGGAGCCGCAAAGCGGACAGCTCTTTAAGTGGGCGTAACATCTTCCGCACTGAAGAGATTCCTGCGGAAGGTGCGATAGGACTTCCAGCAGTTTATCCTGTGCGAGTGAAGCCCGGCGTAGCCTTGACGCGCGGTCCGATTGCGTAACACGGACGGGTCACCAGGTTGCAACCCCGAGTGCCTCTCGGTCTACGTGATTCCCCGCGATGACCCGGGTCGCGGGCCACCTCCTGAAGACGAGGGGGATCTACTTCCGACCGCTACGACCTGACAAAAGCCTGACGAAAGCACTCCTCCTATACGAACGCGACCTGGGCCACGAGCCTACTCTCCGATTAGCGGGAATTAGAAATTGCACCCCCGATGTGTACAGCGGTCTCTTTCTTCCCAGGTACTCGCCCTCCTACCTGGTGGGACTTCTCTTCTAATTGTTTTCTATAGCATTTCTGTGAAGATACTGCCCAATTGTTCTAAAGTTCTTCCATGTGGTGATATTTTGACTTTTGACCTCTCTCAGCTGGACCTCAACGGAAGTATCTTTAAGATTTGAATTGAGAGGTCGACGTTTGTTGATGGATAAATCACAACATTCGTCAATGTCTTCTCGAACGTTCTAGACTTGGTGTTATGATAGCTCCTCGAAGGTTCCCTTTTGACCCGATGAGTGTAAATATACAAACATTTGTAAACTTTATTAAATTGGTGGACTCCTGATTAAGCAGGTGGATTTTGAATATGACCCGTTGGACTATTTCGAAGTGTTTAAGATTGCAAGGTTACATTGTCTCTTTAGTGATCGTTGAATCATACAGTTGGAAATGTTTGTGCATTTAATGAATGAAAAGTATATCTTCAGTCAGCTGTGCTTGTTGGAGTTTAATGTAATGGCACTTTGGTGAAACCTTTTCATATTGAGGAAGGTTTTGTGAAAAATAGTTGAATCATACCACTTGTGTTGAGTGCGTAAAACTAGCACAGCAGAAATATACATAAAGAAGGTACAACGCCGTTAAACTTTCTTGGTCAAGAGCTACGATAGTTGGAGCCTTAGAAAACACGTCTTTCTAAGATCGGCCTCGCCATGACTGAAATTAACATTCAGGATTTACAGAAGTTACTCTTATACTTCTCCAAGAATACTTATCGAGCTAAGGACACCGACAGTATGGTAATTACAGATGTTTCTTTCAAATATATATAAGAAATATGTAAATCATTTGTCATTGATATTTTCGTTTCTAGAGTCAGGCGGCCATGCAACGATGTTTGTTGCTCACAGACCTGGACTATGTTCATTCAGTAATAAATAATACAGGTGGTGATCTGAGCGCACATTATCCCAGTCATCTAATGATTCTCGAATATGAGAAATCTCGAAATCCTAATGCCTGTGACACTCCACCACCTGTACCAAGAACGACAGAGACCATATATGAGAGCATGTATGATCCCGAGAAGCTGAAGGAGCTTATCAAAAGTGCCAGATTCGCCAGGTGTCGTTCTAGGTTTCCGCTACCTGTAATACTCTACAAGGGTCGACACATCTGTCGTTCGGCCACACTGTCCGGTGGACCAGAAATCTATGGCAGGTCAGGTCTGGACTATCTCTTCGCAGGCAATGAACCTACCGCTAACTTACATCAACATCGGGAGCTCGAAGAAGCTCGTCAGAGTGGAGAATCTGTTGTCGGTGAGTGGCAACTGTTTGACAAGGTTCGCAACCAAGATATCAAGCTTCTCAAAACGCTCAACGTGGGAACCATCATTGACTTTATGGTGGAAAAGAAAAAAGTCAAATTTGGAATGAAGTAAGTTTTGGCACTATTTCCATACCACACTTTGTTATTGCTTCTAAACGTATCAAATTCCCTGTACACTCAAAACCTTTGGAACAGGTAATTTGAATTTAAAATGTGTCGTCCAACCGAATTTGTTATTTGTAGTGTAACCTCTTCGGAAAAAGTCGACAAAGAAAAGAGATATTCGGATTTCACAATCGTTTCACTGCCATACCCGGGATGTGAGTTCTTCAAGGAGTTTCGGGAAAACGATTACTTAGCCAAAGGACTGGTGTTCGACTGGTCCCAGACTCACGTGGACGCCCAGATCGGCGTACCAGAAGACCCAATATCGGCCCAGCTGCGTGTCAATTGGGACCAGTACCAAGTTTGGGATCTAGTCAAGTTGACGCAGAATTACCTGAAGCTGATACTCCGGTACCTGAACGATAGCAGCAACGGGATGCTGATCCACTGTATTTCCGGTGAGAATTGAGTCTTCTGCGAACAAACTCCGTCTCAAGAGTCGATAGCAATTAACGAGGCTTTCCGATCCTTCATGTAGGCTGGGATCGCACGCCACTTTTCGTCTCATTGTTGAGGATCAGCCTCTGGGCGGACGGAGCGGTGCACCCCTCGCTCAACGCCTACCAAATGCTCTACTTTACTATAGCCTACGACTGGATGCTTTTCGGTCACGACCTGCAGGACCGACTTAGCAAAGGCGAGGAGATCTTTTTCTTCTGCTTCTACTTCTTAAAGCACATCCATGACGAAGAGTTCAGCGTGCATCCACGCCAAGGGAGGCCGCGGCACGCTGTCCTTAGGAACGACAGCGACTCCCAGCTGGATAACGTTATGTTTGACAGTGAGTCGGTAGTGACCTTGAGCTCGGTCAGCTCGAATCTGAGCCTCAACAGCTGGTGCAGTTCCGTCAGCCAGAACAGCCGCGACAGCCAGGACAACAATCCACCAGCGGTCTTCCACTGCACTTCTGCGGACGGCTGCCAGGACGACTGCCACAGCAACGGGTAGATATCCATCCGCGACCCGATCGACTTCTGAAACGACCTGCGCTCGTTATCATAAATCCTTATCGCTTCTCAGGAACGTCGTGCCGTGGACCTTTTATCCCTCGCCGAACAAAGATGGCGGCGGAAGTAGCAGTCACGGGTCCAGATCACCTCTACCTGCTGCAGCAGCCGCTGCGGCAGCTGCAGCTGCGGCCAGTCGCACATCCCCGGTCGCAGTGCCGGTGCCTGGTAGACTTCGCCAGAGGAACGAGTCCTCCTCTTCGGGCGGCTCCTGGCAGATGATTTCGGGAACTGGGAGTCTGAGGGGTTCCACGACCGTTAATGCTCCGCTTTCGGCGGAAGGACTCGCTTCCGGGAGCTTGGCCTGCAAACCCCTCTGCGAGACGTGTACCGGTCATACCTCGCAGGAGTCCAGCACGACGATTATCGAAGATGAGGCGTGTGCTTCCTTCGCTCAGTAAGCTTACTTTTTAGAAATATTACGGTATACTATTCATTTGTTGAAGGTGAATCTTTTTTTTTTTTTTAAACAATTCTGAGGAATTACTTTATCGAGTCTTCGCTTCGTCGTATGCTCCCACAGGTCTCGGAAGGATCGGTTGCAGTGTCTTCGAAGAATATTCTACAATGCCTACAGCCACACCGTCGGCTTCCGGATGAAGGACAACTCGGACTCGGGTGGCTTCGGGCAGCTACTAGGAAACTTCGCTGAAAAAGTGGGAATTCTTTCCGTTCAGCGTACCTCCTTGTGACCGGAGTCCTGTGGACCCGTTTTCTTAAATGATCGTCAAAATTTCGTTATTGACTCGTCCTTTCAGCCGAGGACTTTGTAAATGGGGAACTGGTTAAGAAAGAAGGAATTGTACATTATTGTTTATTCGGCTGGCGTGTCTCTATGTGGGCGCCGCGCTTACCTACATAATATAATAAACTTGATATTTTTGTACATACGCTTTATCACAGTCGCATCGTGGCATAAATTTGATGAATCGGTTTGATGTCCTGTTCAAGGATTTTTTAAATGCACGACTCTAGAAGGAGTTATTCGCTCTCTGCATAGGGGACATCTTGGCTCGGAACGTAGCCAGTCGGTGAGACAACTCCAGCAGAAGCAGTGACCGCAAGGCGTTGCCGTTGTAGGATCAGCCTCCAGACACAGACGACACTTGTCTCCTGTTTGCCTCCCGACATCCAAGGTATTCTCACTTGCCTCGTTATGAGACGTATCTTGGCTCTGTTGCAATTGTAGGATACAGCGAAGGAGGGTAACGACGCCGAGCAATCTTAGACCCCAGTAAATTCCATCTGCTGGATGCCTACCGTATACCTATTCGATTTGTGTCAATGATTCAAAATAGATTATTTCATCTGATTTTCATAGTTATTAAAGAATAAATAATGACATAATATTTAATTACCTTAACGTAGTCTATACTGGTTAGTCTTTTTCCCAAACTGTAATATCTACCAAATATATAAAACAAACCACGATGTGTGAATATTAATGTAGGAACTACAAGACGCAATCCTGAGAGGAGCTTATCAAAAAATGTTTTAGCCTTTTGCGTTAATTTATATTGTGGATGATGTATAGATTTTCTGAGTCGTTCTAAAAAGTCAAGAAGTATCCATTCTCCAAAACATTCTAGCATTACAGACGTGATCCTTGCCTGTTTCGAAAACATTAAATTTGTTAGAAAGTCAAATTATTACATGACTCATTTTTACATTTAGTAATTTACCGTCAAGGATGGAACTTTGCGAACATTTAAATTAGCTTGGACAATGCCGGTGTATTCTTCTCCCAGAGTTTGATTACCCAGGCCTGACGTAGCAGCAAAGTAGACTAACTTAGCTGGAACATCTGATCGCAAAAAGCGCAAGGCAGTTCGATATCCTCCAACCTTGTGTAATAAATTATTGTACCGTTCTCTTAAATGTTCAATGAAATCATCGTCTCGTTGTCGAGCACGCAGAATTTCAGCTTGGCTGGCTAATGATAATTTGTGATCAGATTTCGAAACTGAAGACATTTCAAATTAGATTTTCATATATATAAAGACGTTTATTGCACTAAAGGTCTTCGACATATATTATGTGAATTAAGTAATTTACTGTAGGGAACGTAAAAACCAGTAAATTACGTGACCAATATGCCGGACGTCGAAGAAGATATACGACACCACCAGGTTATAGCGTCTTTTAATGCATGTATAAATGTGTATAAATCTGAATATTTTTACCGAGAAGTGAGCGAGCTCGTCAAAAATACGTAATAAACGTTCTCATCTCTGCATATATCATACTAAGTGCATGCTGCACCTATTTTAGTGGAGCTTTATGGGAGGGCAGCACAAAACGCTGGAGTGAAAATGGTCCTGCGAATTTCCTCTTTACTCCTTTCTGTATGAAATTTGGCGGCAGAGAGCAGAGAGCAAAAAAAATGTCTGTTGTTTGAAAGTTCTTATTGAATATCTATTCGCATTTCTGCGCATAAAGATTTACATATGAGACAGCGGTTGACGTAATTAAATGTGTTTTTAACAACACGACGTAATTGCAGTGTAATACTTTGCCGCCAAGATGAATGTTGCTCCTTTAGGCAATTTGCCGTAAGTGTCATTTTATTATAAATTACATACTTTAATGTATTAAAGAAGTATGCGTTCTCAAAATTAAGTGTCTTCTTTTACTTGAAAAGAATATCAGAACGAAGCTGTTATCATGTCAAGACAATTTGCCCGCCTAACATAACCTATAATCATTGTTTTATTAATTAGAGAATTATTTGGATAATTTAAGTGATGTCACATGTAGTATTTATTTCATTAACATTTATGTAGAATTATAGTGTCATTATTATCTCTTTGATAGATACTGCAAAGGTCTCTGGTCTGTCATATCGGGAACAACTTGCCGTTGTGATCTGGAACTTGTTCAAGATGAAATAAAAAATGCGAGTACGTTGTTACAAGAAGGATTAAGGTTTTTTAAGAAATATTCTGATGCATCGTTACAAAATGTTCAGAAGACTGATCCGCCACCACGAATGTACGATCTCGTTAGTAAGCTTGCTCCGCTTTTGGTAAGTAGAAAATGGATACTCATACGTTGAAATTTACATTATTGTACATTTCTTTCTGTTTAATCAACTTTAGACTTATTATTTTCAGGACTTGGATGCCATGAAAACTTGGGATTTGGTCTGTAATTTCATGCTCTACGAGTATCGCAATTGTGCCGAGACATTTGCCTCACAGTTATCAGATCTTAGTTCCATGAGAGCATTAATAGAGGACATATGGAATTTTTATTATTCGGAAAGAGTTACATTAATAAAGTGCCTTAAGCTGATGCTTGAATATCGAGATAACAAGAGACACCCTTATCAGGCAGAATTTATTAATTTTTTTGAAGAGGCTTTATTTGGAACTCTTTCAAAATCGGTACAATCTCAAATAGAAGAATTAAAATTTATAAATCCACCTATAAGGTCACAATTATTTACTGATGAACATTTACATCAACTATATAATTCCAGTCTCGTTGAGATGCGAGAATTACTACATGTATTCACAATTATTTTACACGAGGTTAACGTGGCAGAAAATGAATTCAGTGGTATATACGCCAGCATTGCGGTAAGAATCACATAGTTGATCCTAAATAATTTAAATGTATTATGCAGGATGTTAATTTTGCTTGTTTCCCTTTTTTTTAAGGGTCAACCCAGAAGATTGATAAGTACAAAAAGTCACGAGGACAAAGAAATAATTGAAAAGAAATTAGAAGATCTCCAATATAGTCAGGTAGCTTTGCTATTGGTGGGACTGGATGTTACAAAGCAGTAAGTTGTAAAATAGAATTGCAGATAGTGCACTTGCAGGATTTCTTTATATAAACATTTTTTATAATTAGTAGCGATATAGAAGACTGGATAAAGGGTGTGCGGAAGGACATGCAGGACCTTTTAGAACACAAATGTATTCGGGACTGCACTCGTCAAGATGGTCCCCTTTTCCTTGCATGGATGCTTGCTAATTATGCCATTGAACCGGACAACCTAGATGTCGTAAACAACTTAAAACCATTTGGAATCAAAGCTATCCAACTTGATGTTTTCCATTATTTGCAAAAATTAACTGATAGTGAAATGGTTAAAGAAGAGACTCAGTATGCACACATAGTACGAAGCAGCGTCTATAACTTGCTTTCCCTGATACCTTCATTTATAGAGGAAGATAGAATTGGATCGTTGAAGGGTGTATTCGATGCTATTGCTTCGGTCATCAAGTTTCCAGAAATTGCCGAAAGATTTTGGCGTGATCAAGACTTGTGGATGTTCTACAAATATTCAGTTGAACAATTTCCGTACAAATTTGAACCACTTACCGTTGTCGCAATTGGCCTTGCTAGTGCGTCAGCTAGAAGTGCCAAGAAGGTGAACCTTTGCATTCCAATGAATTGTCCATTTACACTGAATTCTTTGAATTAGATTATATTTACAATATTCATAACATGTTGTAGATCGCTGCAGAATTAGATGATTTACCGTCAGTAACCTTGGAGACACCACGGCATCGCGACTCCGGTAAACTATGGAGGCCCTACGAAAAAGAGTGCACAATTTACCACAATGCATTCGCAATCCCAATTGGTTGTAGTAACAAAGTCATCGAGTCGACGGCAAACGACAAAGACGTTGTACTTTGGCACATTAAAGCGCGGTATTGGGACGCATTTCATTACAAGTTGGAACAACTGATATTCGAGGCCAGTAGCGGTATATCAAACGTAAGCGAAGGAAAAGCCGAGCAAGTCTGCCAGGGTTTTAAACTCTTGGAAATCCTATTGTCAGCCGACGTTGATATTCCTCGAGGAATGGTAATACCTACCGAGTTCAGTTTCGAAATAATCAACAGATTCGCCTATCCAGTGCTTCCCCTGAATATCTACCGAATCATAGCCCGGTGCATTTGTATATCATCGAAACTAGTGTTGAAATACCCGGAGGACATTCTCTCGCGGATGCGGACAGGAGTATATCCAAGGTTCAACAATTGGTACCAAAAGACATCGGAGTTTGCCGAGGCGGTTTCCTTCGACGGCGGCTTGATCGCATCCTGGTTATCCGGCATAGAGACCATCGAGCACACTTATCCGATACTAACGGCATATCTGGATATTCTCAGCAATTACTTGCTGGTAAAATACAGCCGAGAAGCCATGTATTCGGTCGAGATACCAGGCATGGTATTTCTCCTCCAAGGCGTCCTTCCTAAACTGGACTCGTGGTATTTTGCCTCGGACACAGAGAGAATTGATATTTGGCTCAAGAGCATGTATTGCCTTCACCGAGCCCTGGATGCAAACCTTCCCAAAGGCGATCCATCGGGCCGCGCCGAGCTGCAACTCATCGTAGCGTATAATCTAATGTACCTGGAGCCACGACATGCCCTCCTCAGGTTAGTCAGGACAGGCGAGCGTACTCTACAAAACAAAATGACGGCCGAAACGGACTGGGTCGCCGGCAGAGGCTTCAAAATAATCAAAAGCGTCCAATTAGCTCTTTCCGTGGTGAACAGGCTACTCATGTTCAGGAAACGATTAGGTCTGAGTCCTGAGGATAGATCACCGCTAGAAGTGGCTCTCTATGCATCTCCTTGTTTACCGAATGGATTGCTGATAGTGCCTACCATCGTGGACTATCTCTACGTCTGGTTCAGTCCATCTCTTCAGGCAATGGCGGTCAGATTGCTGAAGAAATTTGCCGAAGGCTTCTCCATGTCCCTGTTGGTCTGTATGGGCATGGACGGCACGGCTATTCGAGAGACCTTTGCCTCGAGGCTAATGTCTCCTACCTGTGCGGCCGAGGTCAAGGTTGCCATCCTGGAGTTGGTAGCCGTTTGTCTTGAGAGACAACCTGGCCTTACCGAGGCTCTTTTCAACATCATGCATCAAGCCGAACGCAGAAGAATATTCCCTCGGCCTGCTGACGAGTTCCTCACGGTTGGATGCAGTCAATTTCTCGACCTGTACTTGAAGCGGATTCACCGAGAAGAGGACATCGTCTACGACAGGCTCTTCAGTAGCACTATGAATCTGCTCCGGGCCATGTGGTACCACCGCAACGAAATTCTGGTCAACTTCTTCAGGAAACGAGCGAACTTTTGGACCCACCTCTTAGCACCACTCTTTAGGGAGCTCGTTCCTGGCACGAAGGGGTACTCTCAGCTGATCGACATCGTCACTCTGGAGCTCTTCGAAAACTCGGTACCTGAAAGCGATTTCGTCGCCAATTTGGAGAGACTCGTGGCGAAGAAGGAAGGCCACTTGGAGCGATTGGCCAGGTTTGTCCTCGACGGGATCCCGCGCACCGAAGTGGACAGCGTAAGACCTTCCTTGCCCGCCGAGGGTCCTCCCCTTCACGAAGCTAATTTAGAATCCTGGTATCACTTTATCGTGACTCTCACCGACGAGAGGTTCGCTGCTAGCTACCCCATCGAGGAGAGTCAGGCCCACGTTATCGTCGAACTCAGCCTAGACTCGTTATTGGCACGATTGAAGGAGCCCGTTCACGAGCCCGACCTGGCTAGGATCCTGACTCTCCTGGCTTCGCTTTCCCTCAGATGTGTCACGGCTTGGAAACATGCGCGAATTGGAAAGTCGCTCAAAGAATTTCGAAATAAACTGACGGAATTGCTTCAAGAAATCGTCCAGTCTTATCGGAGTTACGGAAAGCTGCTGCGCCAGACTCTGGTCTCCCTGGTGCTGGAGTGCGTCAGACTCGTCGAGCCCAGTCTCGAGCAAGAGGTAAAATTGAGATCGATGATACTTGTAGTAAACAACAAATATTTTTGTTATACGCGCTAAAAACAAATTCTGCTTGCAGGACTACAGCCAGCGGGAAGAGGCGAACTCTATCACCTTGGAGTACCTTCTGACGAGCGCCAGTTTGCTAGCCAGCTACGAGCTGGAGGAACTCAAGGGCATCGCCAGGGATTCTAAACGCGTTAAAGGCGAACACGAGGAGAAAGGACAGGACGAAAGTGCTCAGGCTCTCCGAGGAGCGCGAGAATGCATCCCTGCTAGTTTGACCGTCTGTTTAGTGACCCAAGTTCTGCACAGACTTTACGTCTCCACCTCCTTGGCGGCTACTAACAGAAGCAATGAAGATCAACTTTCTGACAGACGACGACGATGGCGAAATGATGCACAGCAGCAGGATGCGGAGGCGGAACTCGAAGCTAGTAAAGAGTAGGCTCCTAGACATTCGAATCTATTCGCAGACAATATTCGGACGGAAACATTTTGCATCGTTTTCGAATTCCAGGAGACAAGGAGAGACCGGCCCTGTGCGGTGGTTCCGCAAAGCTTCCTGCGTTCAACTCAGGCAGATGATACCTGAACTGACTTCCTGCACCGTGATCACCTTGCAGAGGAAGTCCTATCTCAGATTCAGCAGAGCTGCTTTGGCAGCCTTGGGTGCCATTGCCAGGTCTCCTTATGGTTCTCGGTTACTCGGGGACGACTCGATCGTGAAACTCTGGCTGAGTTTGGTACCCCCGAAAGACATTCGGAACAGCATGCTCGACTCCCTCTACGATGTGAGGACTTTCATCGATTTTGCTGGAGGCTTATTCAATTTCTTACCTTTTATTGTAGATAAATAAACACATGTATCATTCCCCAGGATTTTGCTGGGAGTCACTGGCGTTGTCAAGACTGGTGGCCGCTGTACACTTTGGGACTTGAATTTCTCACGGGTCTCGTCACTGCTGAGATCAGTATCCTGTACACGCAGATGATCGTTACTTTCCTGGGCTCCCACGAGTACCAGCTAATGGAGGTTTCCACATTGTTGAGGCATACGGCGGATCCCTTGGCAGCCGAGCTGATCCAGTCGCTGGTTAGCCTCGTCTCGGCATTAGCTTCAAGAGAAGTCCTCTGGAATTCCATCCAGCCGAGTGTCCGGGAAACGCTAATCGTTAGTACATTCCCCAAGTTATAACCACCTCTCTAAAAAATGCCTCTACTTCATCGATACGTTCCCTTTCCAGAAATGCATGTACCTAGCTTACGACAGCACGGTGAACCTCCTGTTGCGGCCGAGAATTTTGAAATTCATAATCGACGGTATAAGCGTGGAGAGCGCGGAAGAGTTGCAATCATGCGATGAAAAATTGCCTAGTCGAGAGCTGGAGCTCCTGGTGAACAAGTTGATCGTTATAAACGCCGCCTGTGCCCAGAGCTTCGTCCGTTTCTCGCCTAAACTCAATGCCCTGCTCGACACGATATACACGCAGAATTTCTGGTACACGCCCCTGGCGGAGATGAATTTTGGGCCGCCACAGATGAGCATGTGTTCCGGTCCGAGACTCACTTACGGAACCATTATCAGCTCGGTTCAACTATTCACCCAGGCCTTGAGCTCCAGATACGTCGATGACGAGAAACAGCAAACCGTATCCGGATCGCGATCCTCCAGCGAGCAACACGATCAGTCCGTCAAACGGCAGTGCGAACGAGCTCAGGATCCTCTTCGCAGAGCCTACTCTAAGGACCCCAAGGCCATCTTACCCCGAGGAAGATCAGCTCTCGTTGGAGGAGGATCTAGTTCCACAAATTTAAGCGTGGTTGACACTTCGTACTCCGCGAATCCAGACGTCTCTTCTTCGGTGCCATTACTGAGCAGTCCCAGGCTAGTTCGAAGACCCTACGACCCATTGATCTGCGAGAACACGATTCTTTCCAGAGCCACCGCTTTGGTCGCCAATCGAAGGCTCTCCAAAGGTGGCAGTCCCAGTGGTCAAGCGAACGGCAGACCGAGCAATCCTTGGTTCGCGTCTATGGAAGAGAACAACACCAGACTCGCCCTGGAGATAAATCTCGTCCTGATACTCTGCCAAGCTCTCGAAGGTGTCCGAAGCCCTAGGCTAGCCTTCAGGGACCGTCAACTCATCGCCAGGGAGACGGCTAGCGAGGTAGGCGTCTTCTTCGACTTCCTGGAGCACCAGAACAGCGTGGACGACTGGCAGATCGAGGGCTCTCTGGTAACTGCTGATGGCAGCAAAACCAGAAGAGTTAGGGCTCCTGATATGGATCCTCCCTTGCCTGCCAGACTGGTGGAAGATAGCACCGTCTGCAAAGTACCTGTCTGCCAACCTGCACATTTTACTGAAGATGAACCCAGTACCAGCGTTAACGGTGGCGAGGATGATTTGGATAGAAAAACCTCCAGAGGGAAGGAATATCGCCTTGACAAAGACGTTGTCACTACCGGCGGTTTTGATGTAGGCGAGATCTCGAAAACGGTGCATTTGCTCCCACTTTTAGCGAAGCTTTTTAAGTCGATCGTCGAGACCCTTGACTCAACGCAGTATGGCTGAGACTCGTATTGAGTATTAGATGAAAGGACGTTATAAGTTAAAACTTATCCAAGTTTCGGTGGTACTTGGTTTTAAATGAGATACTTAAAATAATGTTTTCCACGTCTGTTGTATGTATGTACATACATGTGAGTCGATCGATCAATTGTGACATTGGAAGTCGGTGCATCCGCCAGGATACGAGAAAACTACTCTTAATTGATTGATCTAGTGAATTTCATAACAGTTGAGAAAGTTGTCGTCGTGAAACTGCACTGGGACTTTTTAAACACGCTTTATAAGAGTAAAAAAAAGAGAAAAGAATAATAATACAGGACGTATCCATCGTCGATCTTTCCATAATGTACAGTATTTAATAAAATGCAGTTGATGACAATTTCCTTTACACGGGACTTTTGTACATCGGTTAATTCCGACGCCAGATATTCAGCAGCGGTGGAATCAAAACGGTTCATTTACTAATTTATTGCTATTATTCGAGCGCTTCGAAAAGACCGCAGATTGTCGATACTGGTGATATATGAAACAGAATTTACAAATCGAAGCTCGGATCTAACAATGTATACGTGTAAAAGTAATTAAAAGAAAGAAAGAAAAAAAAAACTCGAGAGGTCCTTTAGAAGTGCACATAAAGAATCGCCGAGTTGAGTCTCCCAGTTTTCGTTTTATCGAAGGTAAGAGGAAGTGCTGTAAAGAAAATGAAAGTAATTAACAGGAACGTTAATACATTGGTTCTACAATTATTTTACTCGTCACCTGTATTATCTGAGAAAACACGTGAAACAGGAGTGATAATCGATAAGCCGATATACCACAACGCATTCGATTGACTTTCACTCGGTACTTATATACAATGCTGAATAAGTGTACTCGCACTCGCGATTCGAAGTCGTACGGCAAGAATTAAATTCACAGTAACACGGCGTACTGGGGGAACCCTAAAATTAGAAGTCCCCTCAAGTATCTCCTGCGATACAACTTCGAACAAAGAGCAAATCCGAGCGAATTTACATAAAGGGACATTCATTTTCTCTGTCGCAAATTTCGGCCGACACTGTTTGATGACAAAGTGCTAGCTACTAAAAGTCAATTCGAACAGACAAACTCAAGGTCCTTCGATAAGCCCAGATCTTCAGCGAATATACTGTTTTTTTTTTTTTTACTGTAACAACGTTACTCCCTTATCCAAACCATCGCGGTTGTCGAAGAGCAGTACACGATCCTTTTCTAAAAAAATAGTTCCGTATAAGTAAATCTCTATTCAAAAGAAGTACGAGGATGACGATGATCATGGTGGTCACTGGTAGTGACAATAATAGTCGCAAGATAAAATCCATGCGTCTTACAAGTGTTCAAGAAAAGAATAATTTAGGGAGAAAAAGGACCGAGTAACCTCTCAATTCATTTAATGCACTTTTTCATGTACCCACTGTACCGACTTAATCGATACTTAGGCTTTCATGCTTGCCTGGATTTTCATTCATGGAATCCATACGTCCATTAAGAGGATGTGAAAATGGTATCCGAGGGATCAACCGTTCATAAAACTTTTCTCCGAATTGGATGTACCAATTCATTTCAAATTTTACCATATGAAGATCCCCTAAGATAGATACCCTAAGGAAGATCCTGACACTTATGGAATTTCACTTTTTATAGAAAATCTTGAAAATATTTATAAACAAATTAAAAAAAAATTGAAATTCATGGGTATCAGGACCTTCCTTGTAGGTTCCACTTTCACGTTGTAAAGTTTGAAACTATTCGGTACACCCAGTTCGTAGAACTGTTTCATGACCGATTGATATTTCGGATGCCACTTTCACATCACCTTAAGTGTGGAACGCATGTTCAAGTTGCCCTTGGTGAATTACCCACGCATCATCCTCGTCATCTCGACTCTACTTCGCGACCACGAGGTGGCGAGTCACCTGGCGCCCTCTCGCATCCGCAGAATCGACAGACAACAATTATGCTCGATGTGGTAGAAAAATATAATCCGTAGTGTACTAGCGAACAATGCGTGTCCGCGGGTTAAGAGGGTAGAGCGACGACGTCGCACGAGCCGCGCCTCGAGAACCGGGCGTTTCTCAATGAGCGTCCATTCGCGCCGGTTCGCCGCTAAGGGGGCAGGTGAGGGAGAATGTTCTCAGGTGAGGGCGAATCGTCGATCGGTGCACCGGGGGCCGGCGTCGCCCCCACCGCGTGGTTGTGGTGGTGGTGATGGTGGTGGTGGTGTAGATGGTGGTGATGGTGGTGGTTGTTGTTGGGATGGCCGTGAGTACTCGTCCAAAGCGCGCCGTCCTCCGCTGGACTCTCGCGCGTTATCTGAGGTGGATAATTCAGGTGGTGATGGGTCGGCCCGGTTGGCGGGACGGAGTTAGCGCTTGCGGGTTGAGAGGCACCGTTCAGGTCGGCCAGAGGGTCGACGGCTCCGGCTGCGCCGCCACCGCCACCGGGTCCACCCTCCCAGGAGTCGAGCAACTTGGTCTCCTCGCTATTCGCGATACTAGGCCCCGTCCTCTGGCGTTTCGCGTCCCCGTAGAGGAGACAGTGGATGCTCGGCGAACTGCTGCGATCCCGAACGCCCTCCTGCTCCTCCAGGAATCGGTCCATGTAGTCCCTGCTTGCGATAGAAAAGATACGTCACTTTTGGTAACTTTGGAAGGCTGGAATCGGTAGCAAACATGGAGATTGGACGTTATGACGGTAAACGGGAAGGAGGAAACACTCACGTGATACCAGGATGAAGAGCGTACTTCTTTTTCTCCAGACGTGCTTTGAACGTGAAGATGTCGTGCCTCTCGGTTTTCTTCCACAAGTAGTAAAACTGTACGAGCTCGCCAACCGATCTTGTTCGCACCTAGGATTGCAATGATTGCTGTTAATGTAAACGAAGGATTGCTTCGATGCAGAACAAGTTTAATCGAATGTACCTTGTTCTTTTGGATAAGATGGAAGTCCTTCCCGTAACTTCGCAAACCCGTTTCAAAATTATGGCACTCTTCTTCCGACCAAAGACTAACCGCATCTGTTGGAGGAATAACGTTCATTCTCCTTCTCCTTAAAGCTTCCTCTAGATTGTAACCGCACTGGAGTAAAAGGTACAATGCTTGTTCGTCATCCCTGATGTGAGACCCTGAGGGTAGAGAACTTCCTTTCACTGCGGGAAGTTGTGCCCTTTCCAGAAATTCCTCTGTTTCCTCCTCGGGTATGTGACTGGGATCCCAGAGCATTTTATCCTCGTTTTCATAGGGCAATGCGTCATCGTAGCGACAAAGACCTTCTGGGATCGCCGCTTGGTAGTCACTACCGACCATAATGGTCTTTTTCCACTCTTCTTCATCGGGACTATAATCGCAGTCATCCTCTTCTTCCTCGCTTTGAGGGCGCGATACGCTTCGTAACAATCTCGAGGAGCCACCGCTGCCACCGCTTCCACCATTAGCGTCACCATTATTACCACCATTACCACCACCACGAAGGATACCGTCATCACCACCACCTGTGTCCTCCCCTGCACGATCACTATTACCGTTACCATCGTTTCCACCAGTGCCCTCCCCGGTTGCACTACCATCTCTGCCACTACCTCCACCGTAACCGTCTCCGCTACCACTACTTCTGCCACAGCCATTTTCACCGGTACTACCTCTTCTAATGCCGCTTCCACAGGAGTCGGTGTCAATTGATCTCAGCCCCCGACTGGCATTTTCAGATTTTTCTCGTTCCACCATTTCCGTGTAAAACTGTTTCAGATCTGGCTCGTGTATCATCGTATCGGTATCACCGTCGTCGTCGTCGTCCATATCATCACCTTTGTCGGACAAGTGAGCGTCACCTTCTATATCTTTATTAGGTGGGAGTACCATTCTATCAGAACTGTTGGAATTCTCTGTTGACGGATCGCCGTATCCATACATGGCCAGTAACTCCTTGAGCGGCATGTCACCTTCCTGTGATTCGTCGTGATAAAGAATTTCATGCAATGCACAAACTGCATAAAAGTAAGTCAAAGTGAACGACTGGTGAAATGTTTAGGAACTCTTGGAAACCCTAGCTCTAATTAAATAATCTCAATGTCTTATGATAGTCGAACAATTAAAGACAATAAAAAGTTCTAAAAGGTGCACCTTACACTGAAGTACAAGGCTTCATAAAAAAAAGGGGCTAAATAGAATCGACACAACTGATTCTACCTTTTGCAGGTTGGATAATTCATTGTGAGAATCTTCACTGCCCTCCAAAGCCTCTTCCTCATCCAATGTTCGTTCATCGTCGAAATCATTTACCATCATCTCCGTGGCAGGACCCACTTCATAATCTCGATCGGCCCTGCGATTCAAAACGTTTAAAAGAATAAGTATTTATAATAATATAGCATATATAATTTCTTTCTATGTTTATTGTTTCTTACATGATTAATATTCCTGCAACAAGTGGGATGGGACCATGCCACGAAGATGCTTAGAGAACGAAGTCAGTAAGGACAATAAGAATTCCTTAAATGTACACTCATAGGTGGTTTCATAGTGACCATGAAGGGAATCTTTCCAATTTAACCGCTTATTCATTTAAATGCAGTAAGACCAGGTCCACGTAACCGTGGCTCTGTTTTCTCCATACTTTTCTCGGCTCAGATGAAGCTTACCAATGCTCAACCTAAGCCTAACCTCAAAGAGCAACAATGCAATCCTTTGCTTTAACTCGTGAGAGAAATATTATCGATATTACGGTCACCTCTTCAAATGACACTTGTTCATTCGGCATCAAACACTGAAACTTAGTTGACATCTCCGGGACTTCATACTTTACTAACTAACTCGAATTCGGAAATATTGTCCAGTACTTCACCTGTAGGTGAAACAGCAATGAAAGGTTTACAGGTACGTTCCATAACCTCACTCGACTACTCGAATATATCATTCTGTCCCTATTAAAAACCGCGGGAGCAAGAGAAAGAACAGATACCCTAGACATATCGTCACATTTCAGAACGCAACTCTTTCTATGGTAAAAAATATTCAATTTATAACGCTTTGGCAAGAATTGACCAATGGAATATTATTTTTAGACCGATCTACAAGCATTTGCTGTTTATAATGAAATCTGTAGAGTTCTTCATAGCTAATAGAAAATCGCAACAAATATTCTGTTAGAATCACTAGCAAGTTGTCCAAATACTCTAGTTCCATTAGAATATCCAATCATCGTTTTGTATTTTAGTTTGTTCCTGTGCCGCGCAATTCAGTGTAAACGTAGCAGACCTAGGTTAAGTTGGATATAACTCACGATCAATGCGTGTACGCACGGACGTGCACACACAGTCATCGAGGCATGCACATGCAAAGGTGGGACCAGCGTATTCAGAGGTGGTACTTTTCAACCTGTTCGTTGCTGTTCGTCACATGACAGGAACGGAGTAGACGGTAAGGGCGGAAGGTTTCCTCGCCGTGATCGAAACGGTGCGAGTTAGAGAGCGCCGCTTCAACGCTCCGAAAGGTTTTCCATTCTTTGCCCGCTTCAAGAAATAACGGACTCCCTGTTGCACGGGAAACATTACAAACAATGAGATACCTATTGGGCTACACCTTTGCGACCACAGCATCGGCTACTATTGCTGTACTAGGTATGCTTTTGACTATCTCAATCAACAATTTCTAATTTTTGCAGAATTTGAACAATATAATCCAATGATCCATCAAAACGAGTTAGAGTCTATCCGTGATCAAAGTAACCTTTGACTCAAGAATTCTCAAACATCCTTATGGGAATTCTGTATTACACATTCTTTAGATTAATCCAGCTTCATAAAAATATTATATATAAACAATATCTTCGTTATGTATTGCAGTTTTATATCATGTATTTACTGGAAAAGGAGAGCGTGTTAGTATTGCATGGTAAGTAAAAAGTTCTTAAATAATTGCATCTTTAATGCATTAGACCAATCTACATTGGAAAATTGTTTTTATTTAGGTTTTTGGAAAATACGTCACCATACATGTGGGCAACTTTAGGCATTGGATTAGCTGTAGCTTTATCTGTTGTTGGAGCTGCCTTGTAAGTATGCATTTCATCATTAATTATATGAGAGCGTATTATAATTATGTGTATTATTTATTTAATTTAATTATGCTGATTACTAAGATATACCAATTGTGTCTTTTTTCACAGAGGTATACATACAACGGGTGTTTCTATAATCGGAGGAGGAGTAAAAGCACCACGAATAAAAACCAAAAACTTAATTTCTGTTATATTCTGCGAGGCCGTAGCCATTTATGGCTTGATCACTGCTATAGTACTATCTGGTATGCTGGAAGAGTTTACCTATATCCCAGGAGAAGTCCCAGAAGAGATAAGAAATCAGAATTGGTTAGCTGGTTACCTTATGTTTGGTGCTGGCCTTGCAGTGGGGCTTGTTAATTTATTCTGTGGAATAGCAGTTGGCATAGTGGGGTCCGGAGCCGCTCTCTCTGATGCTGCAAACTCTGCCTTGTTTGTTAAGATTCTTATTGTCGAAATTTTTGGATCGGCCATTGGTCTTTTTGGCCTTATCGTTGGCATATATATGGTAAGCATAATTTTTAAATCATATTTGATACATCATGTTAAAAACTTATGTTGCTTCAAAATTATTCTAATTTTATATGATTACTTCCTTTGTGGAAGATTAAGTTGATATAATAATGCTGATGAATTGTTTACCAATTGTGTCTTCCTTTCTAGACATCAAAAGTCAAGATGGGTAACAAGATTTGAGCATATTTGATTGTTGCTCGATGCAGTGTATGAAAGGGATCTTAAGGATCTGTGTGAAGGCGCATGTATGTATGTATATATACATGCATATATATACATATGTGTATATTGCATTGTTCCATGTAGTTCATAATATCCATTACTGTTCAACCATCGAACTTATTGTTCTTCCGTAAAATCTTCATTGAGGATTAAACGGAAAAGAAGCAACTATTTCAGTTGCTCCTGTGGTACTTCTGTTGCCCATACTCCAAAATGTGAGCTATTCGATGGAAAGATTTGTACTAACTAAGGAACCAACCCGTTTAGGCGCTAAGCTCATTATACCGTGCTGCAGTTTCCGCACAAGTATTTCGGTGTCTGCTCTTGGGTGTGTTAAGGCAGGCTAAAATCTAAATTGCTTATTACATTCTACTTTCCGTACATTTAGTATGTTGTGCAATATTTTATTTGCATCACAAAGCCTGTAATTAACACTTCCAAAACAAGAGTTTATCTATGATTACAATAATTATGAAATGTTCGAGTTTATGTTAAAGTACATACATACATCTCGTTTTTGAGAATGAGCGTTTTTAAAGTATGTAAATTCTCGTCAACATAAGAGTACGAACTACACTTAATTAATCATCAATGATTTTAATTGCTATTTAAATATCCAGACGAAGCAACGTACGAGCCTATTTTGAGAAAAATACGAACTATATTTACATATATATAATGTTCCACAACTATTCACTTATGTAAATAGTATCAAACCAACATGTAGAAATATGTTTCAAGTAAAGTAATCAATTGGTCGTTTAATGGACAAATATTCTTTTTGAATGACAAACAATTTCTATGGCAGTAAATTTATTAACAGAATATAAAACTCTCTGTACATAAGCAATAGTATTAGAAAAATACTTTATGATCATAATCAGGTAATATGACGCTATATAAATTCTAGCAAAGGCACTTCATGAAATATCGTATAGTCGAGATTGGTAGTAGAAAAAATGATTAATACACCTAAGTGGAAAATCCTTCGCTTCAGCTATGATTGTCCGCTCGCTAAAACACGATGGATGTCGTTGAAGGCCGAGTGTAAGCAACTTATGTAGTCACTGCCATTGCGTTGGCCTTTATAACTTGTTACCATTGCACCTAGTTTCTGGTCTTGAATCATATATCTGGATATCATAGAGGAAGGTAGTTAATTTATCTATAGTAGATACCATGAAAATCAAAAAATATTACCCAATGCCGTAACCATCCCAAACTACAGGACCAAAACCTCCAGCTAGAACTGCAGGACTTGACAATGTAGAAGTAGACAAGATATTATAGTTCAATGCATCATAAGCCGGATCTTCGTAAATAGCGGGTTTCCTTGTTTCAGACTTCTCCCAAATCTTTTTCAAAGCAAATAAGTGTCTGTCAAATCCTTGGCCTAAAACAAATTAACGTTAATTCACTTAAATCGTATTAACCTTAATTTTGTAACGTACCCATAGCAGCTTCCTTGGTAAGATTATTATGAACGTTGCTACATTCAAGTACCATTTTCCTTAATTGGGAAACCGAAGTCTTCGATAATTTCTGCGTCATCATTTCACACACTGCTTTCGTTTGACTTGTACACGGTCTAATAGCTTCCGTGCGGCCGTGTTTAAACGCTGATGTACTGCATGACTCGTATGTTGACACTGTGCAACCTTCTTGCTTATAATATGCCAACTGGAATGCGAGCTGCATCATAGCATCCGGGCTTACTTTGAACTTCTTAAATTCTTTCTTGCCAAATCCTTCATGCAACAGGTAATTTACGTCTAGTTTTTCTGTCCAATCTCTGTATTTACGCAGCTCACGATCGACGGTGTCTTTTGTCCTTGCGTCTGAAATGAAGTCAATTTTTTCAACAATTGAGTTCGATGAGATTCGCGACAGGTCTTCTGGATGAAATTGTGGTTTCTTTGCAATGTCTGCCTTGACGTCCTAATATAGGGAAATTTTATTATTAGTTTAAACAGCTAGTGAGTATAATGAAATACGCTAGAGAAACAATCTCAACACTTGTACCTGGAAGTACCTCAGAATGGCTACTCCATCACCCCAAGAGTGTTCAAAATTCACTCCCGCTACGCCATCCTTCGTGACTATTAGAGAAAATGATTTGTCGAACCATCGATTGATACCATTCCCATGTAAAAATAGTCGGAACATTTTGTTGTAATCTTTCCCGATGACCTCGTCATCAAGACATAACAAAAAAACTGCAGAATCGATTTTTCTTAAAATATCCTGATTGCCTATTTCTGTCAAATGATACCTGTTCATTGCCCATTGATCACGTTCTGAAGTAGTCAATGTACCCAGAGGACATTGATTCTCAGGTCTAGTATCCTCCAAAATGAACTTCAAATTGGATGCAATATCTAACGGTGTATGGATACAACCATTGTGGTCGAGTACGTCAAAGGTATAAAAGTGACCTTTCCTCATAACCACAATATGACGGGCTGATTGATCCTGATAGATCATATCCTTCTCCAGTTCTGGGATTCGTGTTGTATTGAAGAGATTTGGAAACTGTGACATATCCAGTGGAAAAGCCTGCAGCGATAATATTGTATACCATGCTGTAATCATTTATCTAATGCTTTGTAGAGTCACTTGCATTACCTTCATTAAATATGCACCGTACCAGGATAAAAACGGTGGTAGCGCTCCACATATAGTACGAAACAGTTTGGTATCAGACTTGATTGGATTTAAGTGATACACCTCTGGTTCAAGAATGCCTGTCCTTAAGGACTTCATGAATCTTAATGATGAAACAATCAGATTTGTAGTTTTTACTAGTTGTTGATTGTACATCGTGTTTTCCTCAGGTACAAAAACTAATGTTGGGTTATAATTAATGGGCAAAGGCTTTCGGTCTCTGAGATACATGTCAAACCAGTATTCTGTAATGTAGCTAGTATGACGATTCTTAGAATTCCATTGTTCCAATTCACGCTGGAGAATAGGCCCTTCTTCAGAAAGAAACCTCTTGACGCAGGACTCGGTATGCCGCAATTGCTCATCGATCAATAATGGTTTCTGTGCTCTCAAATATCTTTCACAAGTTTTTTCTAATTTTGGTACCGGAAGACGAGGAAGAGATGGTTGAAAATGCATTGTCGGTAACGTACTTTTTTGAATGTACTCATATTCGTTATCAACGGTAAGCACGCCTTTTGTACTCCTGAAATAATATGCAAGATATGCTTAGAATTTCATGAACCACATCTAAGAATGAACAAAAAGCATGTATAAAAAGAATTTATTTTAAAAGTATTTGTGAATTATCTGTAATTATTAAACCTTTTTTAGTTATATATTCTTTAAAATTTGTTTGATTCAATTGCAAATGAAATTAAAAAGTATTGGAACTTCTATTATACTATAGAGATAAAACTATTAAAATAAAAATTAATAACCTGGTCCTGCACGGCACCACCAACATAGACCCATTGCTGATCTGAAAGTTTAAATATAAATTTGAACAAACAGCTTATTCGTTATTTAACCGATGGCATAAAAATGCTTGTGTCATTATAACGTTTAGGCATGAGTTAAGAAGTATCGATAAGTATACTAGCAAACTCAAGAAATAAAGCAAAGGAGTAAGAAATGATACGTCACTCTAAACCGGTTGAAACATAGACACCTCGAGATGAAAATGGGCATCTTCCACAATGTTGTACAGCAGGCTGTTTTTGGTTTTCACCTTAATTAACAGTTCGCTGACCTGAATTCACTAATTTGAATGAATTATAAATTTCCTTTCAGCGCAAGCGTACCATATGTAGTCTTTAAATATGCTTAGCTATTAGCAATTCATGTGTGTACGCACCAGTAAGCACATTAATATGCAGAGAAAAAGAACAAATACAATGACATTCCGAAGATGGCTACCAGATTTGAAATATAAACCGCAACAATCAAAGATAATTTCAGCCAACTATCATTCAACAAAACGGGACACAATTGCCTGTCAGCGTGGCAACATTACTTTGTTTCTGTCTGATTACACATCTGCTCGGTAAGAAAGACAAGGACAACGACTCTCCCAACTCCAATATGAGCTATTACAGAATTACTCCGAATCTTTGACTGTAAACCCATGAAGAATCAACTTTACCGACGGTGCGTACCTATCGGACGTATCCCGAAACTGTTCCACATTTAGTATAGACGCACTCTTTGTTAAGATCGATTCACCCTGTCTGACACAGCCCGAAATATCCGTCGGTGTCGGTCTCAAAAAACCTTGTAATTTAAATGTAAACAAATTTTCGTATTCCGTATAGGAGTCGATAGCTGAGCGGTCAACGCGCACCACTTTTTATTCACCCTTTTTACTCGCCCACGCTGGGTTTATTTTTCAGAGTTTAAATCGTAGAGTTTTAATTCTAGCAGTCTTTCCGAGATGTCTCTAGAGGAGTTCTGAGCCAAAATAATGCTGATTTGGATAAAAAAAAATAATTAGTCGGCGCAAAAGTTCATTTCGTGGTAACCTGCCTTGCATTTCCAGTTTTCCATCGTTATTCAAATAATCTCCCAATTGTAGATGTCAGATGGCGTATTCATAGTAAGTTAAGTTACTTGATTTTCCAACAGAGGGCAGCACAGAAATTCGATTAGTAAACCGACTCGTAAGTAATTTCCAACATATTGTGGTTCTCGTTGACGCAAAATATTTTTTACTCAAGCTTCAAAATTTGTACCACTTAATGAAATTCCGTAGAATATGTACATTTTTCACTGATTCTTATCACTTGATTCAATAACAATATGTAACAGAACAAATAAGTGTTTAATAGTAAAAAGTGATACTACACAACGGATGATATAAAATAAATAATACATACAAGTTGTTTTTACAGAAAAAAATTACAGAAATGAATTGAAAGTTTTGAAGTGATAAACGTGATACGACATGAGTCTCATTCAAGATCATTTAAAATATATCGCTTGTCTTATCATTATATTCTTAACAGGCACCACCGAGGAGGTTTACACGAATTATGGTACATCTATGAGATAGTATTTAAACATATTTTCTAGGTCAAACTAAAATAATGCTTGCAACTTGAATATTTGAATTTTTTAATTTATAGAAGGAGTTGCAACTTATGCTCTAAAAGAAACAAATACAAATTCAACACCAGTTTATAACAAGAAGGTTAGCAGTTAAAAGGACAAGTATTTGGCTTAATTCTATTAACGTTCTACATGGTTCACAATTTTACAGGAAGAGATATTAAGTTTATGCCCAGTAGGAATCCTGTGCACTGAATTAGGAGGCGATTGTTTGAAGTGTACGTTAAACACGAATTGTATATATGGTGCTAATTATACTGCAAATTGCACTGTACTACCACAAGTTGATTGTATAGTAAGTTGCAATAATCTTATCATTTAAATATAATCAATTTCAAATCATGATCAAATATTATTCATTATTCATATTTTACTACTATGATTTAGGGAGAACAACATTTCCAAAAAAAATATATTTGTCGTTATTGTTATCAAACGGAGCACTGGGAACATGAATGTCATCAAAAAAATTCCTGCAGTTCAGTAGCTTCACCTCAGCAATATTATAGGTATATTGACAAGTATTTAGAAATAATTTCTTGACCTTGTTTAATTCCACTTAGTATAATGTACTAATCTAATTTTTTTTTTCTTAGGACTAATTGTACGGTGAAAGACGATATTTTGTGCCTAGGTAGAAGAACATTTATGAAAAATTTACCGTGCAATTGGACGGGTGGTCATCGGTGGTCTACCGCTCTTATTTTAAGTATTACTCTTGGTGGATTCGGAGCTGACAGGTACATTAATATTGCTTTTAGAAAGTGAATATTATTCAATACAACACAAAGTAATTTTGATAATTTGTTAACCATTGTGGATAGGTTTTATTTGGGTCACTGGCAAATTGGACTCGGAAAATTATTCAGCTTCGGTGGATTTGGCGTGTGGACGTTAATTGATGTAGTTCTTATATCGATACACTACCTAGGCCCTGCGGATGGGTCACTCTATATATAATTTGTTATACGATGTATGATTTTCCAGTCACTTAATTGTTAATGTTAAAGATTTTCTGTACATATGATGATAAATACGATAAATTAATTGCTAATAAAGTTAATCAAATGTCATTACTGTCGGTTTATTAGATATATGTTGTGTATGTGACAATACAAATTTGACCTAATTTTATACATTTTCAATTTTGCGGGAGAAAAGATTAAAGGTCCTCCTGCTGTTCTGATTGGCTAGGAAGCTACATCTGCGCAAGCGCACGTCTCTGCTCTTCCATGCTCCAAGCATCTGCTGCCCGTAAGCAATCTACCAACTCATCTTTGGTTCCAGTTTATTCTCTAAGATGGCACTACTTGAACAGTTTGGGGAAATTTGCTCACACTACAGACATATTTTTTTCGGACGTGTATTCCGTAATACCACAGCTGACTGGAGCTGAAACTTCCTATCGTAAATTTATAAATTAAGTTGCGATTAAAAATGTTAAAGTCGGCTTTAAGAGTGGTCACCACGCCTAACGTTATACAGAAGGCAACTTTACGATGTCTACCAAACATCAGCAACTCGTACGAATTAACAATCTCGAGGTGTTTGCACGCAACTACTGTAAGTCAAAGAAAAGAAGAAAGGAAAGCAATGTTGGATTCTATGCCAGTAGATGACGGTACGGAAGGAGAAAAGTACATTGACATTGATAAAATACTGTCTAAGTAAGTATCAAGTAATCTCTTCGAGTAATACACAAGCCTCGTAAGCACTTTTTTGGTTAGAGGTATCTTCATTCCTTGCTGCGAAACTAAGTCTTATCAAATCATTTTGTGAATTTGAGGGACATCTTGTATGTGTACTTTACTAAATGTTTTTGTAGGGATGACATTTATCCTAATGAACGGAATATGGCATTAACCTTTAACGGGGTTGCTTTTAAGAAATTACCAATTTGTAACATCCGAGTATCACATAATAATACCATTATGACAATATGCAGTCATGACGGTACGTTATGTTCTAGTCCACATTTGGTTAAACTATCTTTTGTATGTAATAATTTGTATTATTACTTAAACTTACTAAACTATTTTGTTCTAACAGGGCTTGTCCATAAACTACGTTCTTGTGGACTTGAAGGTTTTAAGAATGCAAAGAAAGGTACTAATATAGCGGCACAGGCAACGGCAATAAAGTTAAGCAAGGTATAAAATATGTGCAATAGAATGTTATTTGAAAAGTATTTTGTATATTGATATTGATAGTTGGAATTTATTAGGACGCGGTGAATGATGGCTTTAAGGATGTTAGGGTAAGGGTTCGAGGACTCGGACCTGGAAGAATGGTGAGCAAGCAAAGGATTGATTGTATTTTTCCTTGAATGAATATCATTCATTTAAATTATTATTGAATTTTCAGTCTGCGATAAAAGGTTTACAGATGGGTGGTCTGAATATAATATCTATTACGGATGCGACAAGAGTTTCTCCAAATCCTCCGAGGGCAAGAAAAGTGAGAAGGATTTAAACTGTATTTTAAAATGTATAATCCAGTTGCTAACAAATAATACGTATGAAAGCATTTAATCCTTTCATTTTAATCACCTACAAGATTTAATACTTCCCCGATAGCGTTAGCACGATCGAAGTTAGAATAAGTCGTTAGATGCTAAAGCTAAGTATAATAATTTCGCTATTTGATAAATTCAATTACTTTATTGCACCGTGTATTTTCTCTACATGTGTACCTAAATTTAAAACAAAGATTAGACGTACCATAACTAATTTACTACAATTACTAAATAACAGTTTACATTAAATGACTAGATTTTTCACGATTAGCTTATACAGATGTACATACATTAAGAAGCGCTTGAAGTTTCTAAATTTTACAAAGTAGCTGTACACATTTTCCTACACATTTCAAGGAAGAGTAAGGCATATCGTATCACAATTACCACTTTTTAACAGACTAACCAAATTCCCCGGAAAACGAGCCCTTTACCGAATTAATACCTTTACGAAATTTCGGATGAAAATCGGCAATTAGGCAGAGCTAAGTGAATCGCATTTCCCAAGTCATTAAGACCGAGGGAAGCTTTTTCCACCTAGGGGGAGCCTTCATTACCGAAGTCGCGAATTCCTTAATTGAGGCATCTTCGAGTTTCAGCGTTTTCACGGAGTGCGTACAATTAACGTCGGTATTTACGGGGAGTAATAATAAATACGGTTCGAGATTCATTAACCTTGGAAACGGCGTTCTACCGCTTAGCGAATATTTGGCAGCGGATTCCTGCAAGCTTTCATTGCCCGATTGTACTCGAAAGCACTCTACATTCACCGAAGTTTCAACTTGCAGGATTCCTCGGGTTCCTACCAACAATCGAGGTGAGCTTCAAGGACGACCCACATTAGTGGAGGAGGATCACAATATCCGCGACTGGAGTAAGACAAATAGCCCAGACGGCGATTCAATTCCGTCGAGCGAATCGCATCCGGAAATTCGGTAGAACCTCCCCCGGCTACATATTCCATCTCCGAAAATGGTTTAAGTATTTATCATTAAGAAATGAAAACCGATCCGATCATCCTGGCAGTCTTTCACGACAACTATGCACGCGAACAGCCAAGGTTGCAGGTCGCTTTTCGAGAGGATTCAGAAACGAGTCGCCTTTGTTGAAAGAGGTTCCGCTATTTCCTCGAGAGTGTCTGTTGCGTGATCCAGGGAATGTACTCCGAGACCCGAGTGTAGACTCCCGGGAGTCGAGGTCTTGCACATCCTATCCCCGTAGAAACCACTCCGACGACCATGGTGCTGCCGCCGGGATGGCTTCCGACCATCAGAGGTCCGCCACTGTCAGCCTGAAAGTAAACCAGGGAAAGTACAGTCGTTGTCGGGACCCTTCGGACGCGGTAAACGGAACGCTATCCTTTATTTCCCGCGCGGAAACGCCAGCTCGGGAAATTAGATCCACGCTTGGCAAATTAGAACCGAGGAGCGAGTCCGGGTCGTAAAGCTTCACGCCTTGTTTTCTCGAGGAAACCACCCTCTCCGCGGTAATACGTTTCCAACCGGAATCGCCGGACGTTTAGGGCTGACCGAGTTTTTCTGGATGCCCATCCTTGCCCAACGACCACATGGAAGGCCAGGGGAAATTAATTAATTCCTTGATGAAGGCAGGATAGCGAAAGCTCGCGAGGTGGATGAACGTTTCTTCGCGATCCTTCGTGTTCTTTCTCCAAGTGCAGATCCAGGCACCCGGCTGGAACGGTTCTTTCCAAGATTCTCGGCTGAGTACGTTTATAAAACTCACCCAGCAAGAATCGCGACCTCCCTCTTCGTGGCCGGCGCACATCTGTCCGGGTGCCACGCGCCATTTCTTGCCCTGGCTGGCGTACCATTCCCGGCACACGTTGTTGTCCACCACCCTGACGCCGACCTTTTGCAGGACGTCCGCTCTCTTGTCTGCGGAAACGCAAAGAATTCGAAACTCGGTATGTGGCCAAGGACGCTGGTTATTACCCGCGACGAGAACCAAGCCTTTATTTACTTGTGTCCCTGTTCTCGCCCAGCCAGCCCCACCCTGCAGCCACTGCATGCTCTCCCCTGAAGATGCTGTATCCGGGGTTTCCGGAGGCCGGAGGCAAGCAGGCCGGTTGTACATTCGGCGACCAGGACACGGGCCTAGCCAGCTCCAGAAGAGCTATATCGTCGTCGTATCCTCCGCAGGCGTGGCCAGGATGCACCATCACCCTCTGCACGGCCACCTTGCTCTCGATCAGATACTCCGGCGCCCTCAGATTGTGCTCGCCCAGGGTCACTCGTATTTGTCGAGCAGGAATCACGGAGGTCCCCCTGAAAAAAATAGGTTTCCTTAGTCCTGCTCAACAGATTTGCACAACTATTGATACTCGGTACATCGTCGGGTGAAGTTTAAATAATTCAAATAATTAGACACCCTGGTGTTGGGCACATACATGAATAGCGCAGTGCGCGCCCACTCCTTCCAGCACCTAACTTTACATTTCTTTGTTTCCGGAATACCACTACTCGAAAGAGACCTCGATAACCGTGCAAAACGCCTCGCCAATGTTGGTGGAGTACCCTCGATGGGTCCGTTCGCTTTTGATCTGTTCTACCTCGAATTGTTCTATCGTCTGGCAGAAGAGCCGTCGACGCGACACGCTCTCCGAGACTCTACCCTCCGTGGCAATTATTTATCCTGGATTTTCATGCCGCAGCGCAACTAGACTCTTTGAATCCTAGGGTACTAGCGGCTTCCGTTAATTAATCGGTCGCGATTCGTTTGAATAATTAAGAAAATTAAGACACTTGGCCCTCCCTTAGCTCCTCCCTCTCTTCGAGGTCGCCCAGACTGCGAGTCTTCTCTTCTCGAGTTCCCCGCGAATCCACCTTAACGAGTCCCTCGATTGTTACCTGACCTTTCCCACTACTCTTTCCACCAGGAACTGGAACTACTTATGCCTGGAATTCTTCCTACTCATCCTGCGAAAGGTATAAAAAATTAGTTACGTTGACAATCCAAGTGCACAGAATTTGTGTAATCCAAGTTCCCATTCCCATGAACTCGAAACGCGAAACCACAAAGTCGGGACTACCCATGTCTGGAATTCTTCCTACTCATTCTGAGAAAGGTATACAAAATTAGTTACGTTGACAATCCAAGTGAACAATCATTTTGTAACCCAAGTTCCCATCCATCTACATGAACTCGAAACGCGAAACACCATAGCCGGGGATGGGGTGCGGAATAAATCAGCGACGTCGACGCTTCGGTATCGGGGCACACCTCTAATCGCGGCGTTTGCGTTTTGTCAGCAGGGGCGCGCATTTTGCCGGGGGTTTTGCCCGGCCCCTAGCAATTACCGGGTGTTCTGTAATCTACGCGCAATCATGGTTTACAGGGTCGAAGCTGCCCTGAATTCTGGTCGTCCTCCCCCGCGGCGGATGCCCGATGTACGCGATACTCGCCCGGCCGGACGTCCACCCACCTTGTACCCGTTTAATTATACCTACGACGCACTCCGATCTGAGCCGCAGCACGTGGTCCTTGGGGAGAGCCCTTAATGAAAGTCGTTTGTCGAGCTTCCCGAGAGGCGCTGGGAACTTTGCCCGATTCCGGAGGCACCCCGGAAGGGGACGTCGACCCCCGAATGGCGGAAAAACGTGGACGCGGTTTCCCGGGCCAAGTGGCGAGCACAAGGTCGAGGTTTATTGGGGGACGCGAATGCTTTCCTATTGCGGAATTAAATTACACCATATTCATATGGAAGGCATACGTGTTCACCAGGGTATAGATAGGCCTCGGTCCAAATAAACCGGCTCCAGAGATTTTTAGGATTTTGGATCCAATCCGATCAAGTTACCGTATTGGGCTACCCGAATCGCAGTTTCGGTTCAAAGCGTTCGATTTATATTTGATTAAAGGTATTAGAAATGCACTAGAAAACAGTGCACGCCCGGGACTTCTAACGACAACAATCGGGTCTGCGAGGTACTCTATAGTGCTCTGCAGTGAAATCGTGTAAAGTGCATCTTCAGGTCGCCCTATCAGAAAATAGGACGGACGTTAGAATGCCATTGAATGCGTTATATAATCATATAAAATTTGTCTTCAGGTAGGATGATTTGATATAATCCGCGCTCAGTCTACCGGATCCAAAATCCTGACGTTTGGAATTCTTTTCTTAGGAACTTCCTCGTTGTACATGTACGCCGAACTCTCTCGCCATCTTCCGTTATGCAAGCAATTAGCTCGATACTCCATATATCAAAGCACATCGTCGCGGCAATGGCAAAGATCAACGTGACTGCTTGATAATGAGCACGTGAGCGAACTTCGGAAATCTCTGGATTACGTTAACGAACGGTAACTGGACCCCCGAGACTCGGCGGTAACGATCGTTAACGGTAACGAAGCGCGCCGATTCGCGCGGCCGTCGAGCACTCTTCTCCCTCCTTGCACCCTGCTTTATGTAACAAAGAAATGCCAAAGAGACGTGATTATAGGCGAAGCAACGGGCACGATTTCTCCCTCTCTAATTCGAGCACCGCGTGCGGAAATCGAGGGGGAACGAGGGCTTTACTCTCGCTATCCAGGAGTTACGTCGATGCGGCGAATTCGAAATCGCCGGATTATACTCACGAGCAGAGGCAGTGCGCCGCGGTGAGGACGAATCTGGAGTTGAGAACTGTCCCTCCACAGATGTGCCCTCCTTTCCTCGTGATGCTTGCCAGCCATGGAAATTCGCGAGGTGTGGCATCCTGCCCGCCGACCACTCGAGCTCTCCGCGAATCCGTTCTTGCCACTCCGCACGGCACGTCCGCCACTGTTCGCACGTGAGAAAAATTTCCAATTTAGATGTACACGTATATAACCTCGTACGCCTGTGCCAAGCCTGCGCTCGGGGACCAAAGAAATTGATAATGGCTCGTATGGTGCCAATGCGCGACGCGGGTCGCTTCTATACATACGTTACCTTGATTCTCCGAAATTTAAGGTATATGTCATATGAAAGTGCGATATATACGTAGGAAAAAGTCAAAATATTTATAAAACTTTTCTCCAAACTGGGATAATCGAATTATCGGAAACTTTAACACGTGATTATGGCTCTAAGGAAGAACGCGCTGCCCGTAAAATTTCATTTCTGGAAAAAAAAAAGGTATCTCTTCTGATTCATGTCCGAGATAAATGCCAACATTTCTTACGAAAAATGAGATTTCACGAGCAGCGCGCTCTTCCTTAGAGCCTCCATAATCACGTGTTAAAGTTTCAGACAATTCGGTGCACCCAGTTTGGAGAAAAGTTTTATAAATATGTTGACTTTTTGGTACGTATATATCACACTTTTATATCACCTTAAGGAAAGCTGGCGCCGTTAGATGTTCGAAAATCCTCGCGGCGACTCCCACCTTAATTGACGTCGAGAAATTCAGCTACAGGGATCCTTTCTCCCCGGGGGTGCGAAATTCATGCAGATCCGAATGAGTCAGACAACCGCGGTCGGGTTGTGTTCATTTTTACGTTTCCAGGAAGCGCGTCGCGTGAGGTGCGACACTTTGCGAGATTTCCCTCGTAAGTTTTGGTTTTACCTCGCACGTATGAAGCCTCGCAAGTATAAAGCTGGATCTTGCTCGCAAACGGCGGAGATCTCGCCGATTTCCTGCGACTCGGTGCGAGTCACCGGGGCGCTGGTTCCCTGTTCCGCCGCGAGAGGGCGACAGTGGCGCCGATCTCGACCGACGCGTCACGTTACGATTCCCTACATTTTACCCTGAGTTGCATTTTAAATCGAAAAAAAAACTATAATACCAAGGTGACAACGCGTGCTCCCACTGTGACCTTATTTTTTACTTGTCTGCGGAATTCAAAACGCCGCTATACCGTATCATGGCAGCGGTTCTTCTACATGTATTACAACGAATTAATTGTACTTCCGAAACTAAACAAGCTTTAGTTGCAGTTTGAACGAGAAGAATGATATCGAAGAACGTTAATAATTCTACATTTTTTAGATTATATGTATTGGGAGACTTTAGCGACGATTTGCATCTGTGTAAAACGAATCCACGCGGGATTCCACGTCCTTCCGCGAGCGTCCTCCCAACCGTCATTCCCGAAACGACGCCGAGTGGGACGCGTCGCATTACGAGGCCCTGTATCGCCCGGTTGCGTTTTTAATCAGAAAGACTGCGGGCGACTCGTTAGACCTATTCCCGGTGACCATCGCGAAATGGAGCCAGGATCCATACATTCATGACCGCTGTCGATGAAGAATTATGAACGCCCGCCGCGACCTATTTCTCGGCGGGCCCTGCGCCCCTGGCGGGCGCCGCGGTAATTAAAGTGCCGGGAAGAGTTTGGCTGACGCGCGGCATTGCGTGCACCTCGGGGACAATTCCGGGAGATTTATGGAGCAGTAGTTGAGGTATCGCGACGAAAAACGGTGCGTTTTCGGAAAAGGTGACCATTCCCTGGCTGTAAATAAAGTAGGGGGGTATAAACATAAAGGAGGAATATGGCGGGTGTACCGAAAGTTCCGTCGCGGCCCCTGAATATTCACCGCCGCCGATGAATAATTCGGCCCCTTAATCGCATAGTCCGAAGACGATCGTGCAATAAATGCAACTAAGCAATTTGTTTCGAGCGTTGAATATTTATCCGCGATCCGGTTACGGAGTACCCTCGTTTAAACGAGCTCGGCTCTTCGCGATTTCCCGCGGCCGCTCGTTTCCGATGGGCTGACGCGGCGTTGCCGGGCCACGTGTCGGTCGGGCACGGATTACGCAACAGGCGTGCATTCGGGAGCGGCGATTACAGCGCCGCCCCCCGTACGACGACATAACCTATCGATTATAATAATAAAACTTTAAATTGGACAAGTTGTAAACTCCGGAAGATATTAACGACCGGAAGGGGCGGGGGCGGTTGATCGCGCGGGATTCGAGGGGGTGTAAGTATTGGTCTCTCGTGAATTCGAGACCTCGGGTCGGAGTTTCGGGAGGGGAGGGGGGCGACTCGGGGGCCGAATACGGAAAGGCATTTCAATTCGAGCCCGTAGGCAAATTCCTGATAACCGGTCGAACCGCCCACTTATTCGTCGAGATCCAGACCCCGTCTACGATTACGTTTCAATTATTCCGAGTAGAGTCGGCCGAGGCGGGCGACCCTAGGTTCCGTCAGTTCCTACGGCTTCTGTCCGTGTTAATTAAGTCCCCCGCAAATTGAGGCGGCATCCGCAATTCCGAAGCGACGCCAATTACGCGGGCCGATACAATAATTAAAGCGGCAGGTCGTCGCTGCGTGACGCCAATCGAGTTTTCGCTGAACCGTGGGTCAGACGCGGCGATAGAGGGGCTCCTGCCTCGTTGCGGACTACCCCCGACCTCAAAGATGAGGCGGACGTCGGAGACGGCGCCGTTAAACGAGTTCAGGACTTCTGCGGTAAACGTACCGCCGATACGGATACTCCCTCTCGAAATTCTTTTCTCTAAGCGACATTTCTCCTGTACGGTAGCGTAAACTCCCGTGTTAAAAATGGGCTGGAAATGAGAATTGAAAGACATATTAAACCATTTTTCTTATGCTCAGAGATATTTGATATCAATACCGACAAAATCCGCATTTTATAAAATACAACATTCACTACATCTCTATATTTCCCCCAGACAGATCTGGAGTTGTTTAAAACCGACATACTTTTTTTTTTTTTTAATTACACGAAAAGGAGTTGTATTGGGAAAGGCGAAGCGGCAGTCGGCCATCTTGCGGCGAGCGAGGGAAGCTCTCGGCGCGGCCGTTTACTACGGGACGCCCCCGCCGGTGTTTCCGTGGCGCTGGGGTGGCGCGCGGATAACTTGAGCCGAGTAGGGAGCATTCCGCTAACCGATTCGCCGTCGCCTCGACGACCGACGCTCGTGCGAATTTAATGCCCCGAGCAACCGTGGGGTATAGATACGGCGAATCTGTCACCGCAATCCCTGGGCCGGCGTCCCTCGTTTCACGCCCCGACTGATTAATTGGACGTCTACGGCGCCCCGAGCCGTTCCCGGGGGCCGCGGCCCTGCAGCCCCAGAATCCGAAGTCGCCTCTATTCGGAAACGCCTAATAGATATGTCAAACCCAGGCCCGAACATGGTCATGATAATATGCTGATGGCTCGGCGGACCGGAGACAGCTACTACTCCTCGCACGCGGCTCTGTGAAAAATCGTCTCTATCTCCGCGGGCCCTCCCCCTCCTCCGCCCCGGGCCGCGAAATGGATTCACCCCGATTCGGGGAGAGCGTAATCGATGGGCGCCATCGCGCGGCCACTCCACGAAGCGGGAGTTTTCGCGCCAGCTTTCGGACCGCTGGGGGCGCTCGCGTCGTTTACGTCCGACGCAGGGCCGCGCGATCGGGCTTTCGCCGTCGCGCCAGCCGAGGGTGTTTCCGACACGCCGGATCCTGATAAGTGGCGAGGGACTGCCGAAGTCTCCCTCAATGCCTGCCTGAGAAGATCGCCGCAGGGGAATGTACCCGTGAGGCCGCGGGCTGTCTGAGGGGCGGCCATATTGAATTCGCATTTCCAAGACTTCCCAGGGCATGGTGGGAAGCATACAAAGCGCGTTCCCCCCAGCAATCGTATTTTTGACTCCTCTGCGCCTTAACGCCGCCATATTGCAATAGGAATTAACTCGGATTTTGAAATTGAGAGATAACTCGTTAGAATCATGTTAAAACTGGAACGGAACGACGAAAAATGAAACTATTTACAGACCGAGAGAGAAGATAAATCGACTAAAACAAATATATAATGTTGCCTACATCACACACGATTGCAAAAAACCAATTTTTTCGAGAAGAAAAATTAATATTGATTTAAATGAATTTTGTTTATTCCATCCAATATTTTTTTTTGAACGCATTTGATCGCAGGATTTGGTTGTCGGTATGCATTTTGGCCTCAGAGCAGGTTTTTTTTTTAACTTTATCTACTCTAAATTTAATTTGTACACTATATTTTCAGGGGTCGGCAAACAAAACTACGTTTTGGAGGTGTGGTGTTATGGTTCCATTGTAAGGGTTGTACAATAGTACACCTTGTCTCCGATGTATGACGACATATGGCAGAGCTTAAATTATGTGAGTACGGTTGCGTTAATAAACGGCCGGATTTTCTATCGCGGAAATTCGCAATTCAGCAGATGAGGCTAGCCGCGATGCCCTGCGTATCGGATTTAGAAAATCGGCCGAAATTGATCGCCTTGCCATCCTGCGAGGGCGATGCGGCATTAATGCTGCAGCGGGCGGTGCGACCGCTAATTATTAACGTTAATATTCGTAAGCCGGCCGATAAATCCCCTTCTCTCGATGGATTATCCCGGTCGCGAAGGTTAACGGAGTGTCGAGCGCCGTCGGGGAGGCCGCCCATTATGCCGGGTGGAAAAGCTCGGGAAGCGATCCAGAAACGAGGGGATGCAGTCTCCGGATCGGGCCGGTGATTTACGGGGATGCACCCCGTCCGACCCGCCCGATCCGGAGGAACTGCATCGCCGAGCTCGGTCCCGGGTCTACCACTATTTCTCTCTCTTTCTACCGGTGCATCCATCGTTATTATTAATTTCCAGGTTCGCCCGGGGCTAAGCCGACGTCTGCGAGAAAAATGCGAACCCGAGGAGCTGCTACCGTATTCCTGTAACGCGGATTCGATATGACGTTATTGACCGCTCGTCGATGCGTTAGCGGAAGAGAGGAACGAGTAACGTCTGTTTCTTCAACCCTGCATCGAAGTGGCGAGTGCAAGAAATACACCCGTGTACACGTAAGTGTAACGAAAATATACATCTTGGTCTATGGCGAGGAAAGACCATTGTCCTATTAACACTTCAATCAATCTCTGGCACAGGGACCTCCAGGAACCCCGTCTCGTATAGTTCAATGTTTCTCGCGTTGGACTTGAATTACGAGCGAACTTCACTTATCCGAACACGGTAACAAGACTGCGGATAACTCACGACTGGGTAACTGAAACTTAGGACCGATTATCCCTTGTTTTCTGATTTATTGTTAAAATTCTAGGTATGTGTCTTCTTAACGCGGATGGGCTGCTGTCCATTAGGGGTGTCTATTGCGAGAGCTCGGCAAGATTGGTCAGCCCGGGTAAGTGGGATTCTGATCATGGTCCTCGTGAGTTCTTGGTGGTTAGCAATGGTACAGAGGAGTTGTTAGTAATTTATGATAGACGTTGGTCGACTTACAGTTGCCGAATCCCTCCACCAGAGCCGGCAGGACGATCACGCCGAGGATGAAGACGATGATGGGAGCTCGCGATGTCATCCTTCCGGCTCCGTAAAGCGCCTGTCCTCCGTGTGTCGATAAAAAAGTGTCGCAGCCTCATGGAGCCCCTGAGTCTTTATACTTACCGATCGGTTGCATCTCCCCACCTCCCGGCGACGCGAGGACGGGCGCTTTTCGGTGCCCGTGGACGCGAACTTCGTCGGGCATTCGGCATTCGCGGTTACCTCGATAATTGACGGTGGGCGAGAATAGAGAGACGATAATGCGAGCCGATCCTCGACCACCAAGGCTGGGAAGCCAATGCACGATTTAACGCACGACCGTGAAGACCACCTGGTTCGATGTCAATGTATTCCCTAAACCTCCGGTTCGGCCTTGACGACGATGGGAGCCACCGCGACGCCTTCCATCCGGATCCTTTCGGCCTGAGGCATTTAGGACACCAGGTAAACGTAGGATATGGGATACCTCGAAAACCGAGGGTAGATTTACCCCCTTTCCAGGGGAAGTTTCTTCGGTAGAGTTATTATTTTCTTTCATTCTATTTCAGATCGATATCGCGCTTGGTTAGGTGATCATTACGCCACTCGTACCTGCTGGAATAAATGTTACGCGGAGGTCGACGTCTGTCAATGTCAGCGATATGATAGTCGGCGCGAAAGATGATGCGCCCAGATAGGAGAATGTGGAACGCGTACTTGACGAGGTGCCGATTGACGGCTCGACAAGATCTCGCGCGCCACGACGAGGAAGAATTCACCTGTCGGCGAGAGCGCTGCATATACGGACGCCTGATTGGCGTGGGTGCTCGCACATGCATCTGCACGCACTCGTACGTGTGCACCTGCACGCACGAGGAGGACTATACGAAAGCGAGAGTCGCTGTTATCCCCCCTACGTTTGGCTGAACTTGACCCACTCTTTGTCTCCCGACTTTGTCGACAACTTGACTCCCTTTTGCTCACCTTGTGCTCCCCCATATGTCATGCGTGTATCTACATCAGCGATCGGCATTAATGCCGAACTGTATCGCGAAATAGGCAAATTAGCGCGGGGCTAATTAATTGCAGCCAGTTAATCATTATTTCTTGGGCGGTTTGTGTACGCAAAAGTAAGCTACGTCGCGTTAATAATGAAAAGTAGTCGCGATCGTTAATTAAGTCAGACAAAATTATATAACGAACCGCTTCGCGGTTTCGTTTGCTTTGTCATCCCCGAAATAGTTCCGGCGATAACCTTATCGGAGTTAATTGCCGCAAGGTCTAGTATGCTGGAGCACACCGTAAGTGTCCGTGAATGGAGTCGAATGGCGTAATAGGTGGAGGCAACGACACCTCGAGGTCGCGCAGTCAAACCGAGCCTTAATGCACTTGAACCACTGGCGTGGTGACCCACTAACTTTGAAACCGATTGTCAGAGAGTGTTAGACCTGTCAGACCGCTCCCACTAATTTTATTCTTTTTTTCTTTTAAGGGAACCCGAAGGCGTCCATTTGTCCCCTGATTTCTCGTCGCACCTGGATTGTTACCGATTAACGAAAACAGCGAAAAATCAAGACGTTGCATTTTTAAAGCCACGAGGTTGAATGTCGGCTTTGCGTTCCCGCAATACGTGTTAATAGACGTCGAGGGAGCAGGGCGGAAAAATTGGCCGAGAACGCGAGCGGGCGCCGCGAATGCGGAATTTCGCCGGGCGGAAATTATACTAATTAGAGAGCAAAGCGTTTTTTCTCGGACCTTCCTGCACTCTCTTTGCAGGCTCCCCAGCGACAATTGCGCCGTGGGCGAAGTTGAATCCGTAGAATCCCGTAATTACTTTAATATCGGTAGTGCCCTCTAATTAGTGATGCGCATCTCCGGAAATGATAAAGTTACATCCCTGGCAGGAGGTTGTGAGGATCGATTCGGCAGCCTTGAGATCTTTTTCTTGTTAACAATTTAGAGAGGCTGGGCGAACCTCAATCGTTTCGATCATGTGACGAACGGGTGAAAGATGTCGCTCAAGGATGCCGACTCGAGGTGAATCGGTCGATGATGGATTCGGCAGGACTTGACACTGACTCGACTGATTCACTTCCCGTAATCGCGGTCGTCGAGAGCACGCTTGCTGGCCAATTAGCATAAATATTCCGAATCTGGTCTGCTCAATAACATACGGGCTCATTGTCAGTGGAGTAGGCTAAATCGTTATTTCCGCGTAACGCCACGTACCCTAGAGGTCTCTCGATTAACTTATCGGCGAAGAAGTCCTCCTCGATCTCGAGTATTCCACTTTCGGAGCCACGTCTTGTTTATAAATTTCTTGTAGACCGAAAAAGGAAAAAGAAGGAAAAAGAAATAACACTGGCGTAACATTGAATTACGACGCCGGTTTACGGTCTCGGGCTGTTCTTTCTTCGCGCCATATTATCCTTTACAGCGGGCACATTCGCCGCAGTAATTGGATAATTTAACTCAACGACGTCGCCCGGTAATGTTGACCGCGGCGAGTTACGGGGAATAAAGTAAAAATGTTTATTACATCGACCCCTGGTCACGGAGGAATTTCTCATGCACCGTCGCAGTCGCTCCTTATATACGGGGTCGTATTAGGAGGAAATTCTGCAAAAATACCCCCTCGGAGGTTAGAACCCCCGGGAAGGGCGCGGAATCCCCTTCGGGAGGTAAATGAGAAAGTAAACCGGATTAAACCGCGATGTTGGCCAGTTTGCGAGGACTCCGGTGCTTACTTTTCGCAGGAGGGTGGGCGGCTTGACAGCGAGTCAAAAGTATGTCTCCCCGTCGTGTCTCGCGAGGGACCTCCTCCTTTTTCTTATGCCCCTGCGCGGGGAAACTTCATCGGGCAACAGAATAATACGAGTGTCCCGGGCTCTGGCTCTCTCCCGCTAAGATTAAATTGTAAAAGTTGAGCGACCGAAAGTTTAGACCGAGGTATCAATGGCGCGCACCAGCAGCGGGAATTGGGTTCTCGGAGCGAGTGAAATTGCGAGGTGAAGTTGCCGCTCCGAGCCAATCACGAGTCAATTCACGGAAGGGAAAATTGAGTTTTATTGAAGTGGAGGGCGGATGACATCGCAGTTCCGAGGCGTCACCGAACTACAATCCGGAGTCACTTTTCATACGTGCCTCCGAATTTCGAGGAGCGATCCTTACCCACCCTTTCCCTTCCTCTCTATGGATTAAGGCTACGTGAAAGCGGCGTCGAAGAGGTCCCGTTTACAAAACTATCCCCCAAATTGGGTGTACCGTACAGTTTCAAACATTACAACATGAAGATCGGGGCTATAAGAAAAATCCCGATATCCATGGAATTTTAATTTTTTAACGTGAAACTTCTTTTGACAGGGGGTAGGCATAATTCCCGACACGAAGAAGCGTCATGATGAAGAACACGGGGGAAGTACAAAATGTGATGGCGTTTGCAACTAGGTCTTGTTTCTCTGCTGCGCCTTACCTGTTCATCCCTTATCTGTTTATCAGCATTTTTGTATTTGTCTCGTCGTTTGAGTTTTTGCCGACCGAAAACAAGGCTTGGCACGGCTCGGGTCCTTTCTTAACCCTTTTGGTACGACCGCCGGATATATCCGGCATCCATCTGATGACCTGTGTGTACGAGCGCCGGATATATCCGGCATCCATCTGATGACCTGTGTGTACGAGCGCCGGATATATCCGGCATCAATTTGATGACCTGTGTGTACGAGCGCCGGATATATCCGGCATCCATGTGACAACCTGTATGCACGTGCTGTGTGCATTTTCGGAGCGGCGCCTCGTACAGAGGGAGTGTCTCGGCGGACAGAGCGCTCGTACCGAAAGGGTTAATTCGTCCTGAGTTTTCAGTCTTCCGTGGAGAGTCCTCGGACGTGCTCCGCAGTTCATAGAGAGTCCATTTTTCGAAAGTGGTAGTGGTGATTTTTAGGTGTTCGAGAGAGAAGCTGCAACCAAAGTCGGCAATGCTGAGCCGACATCAAGCGGGCAGCTGTGGAGATTCGAGCTGTCATTCATCGAAAAAGTTTCGGTGATTCCTGTAGTTTTGTTTTCCCACCCGAGGCCGAGATTGTTTTCGTCTTGCAAGCATCTTTGACTCTGTTTTTCGCTTACAACACACCTCCTCAGGTGTCCAAAATTCCCTCATTCTCCTAATCTTCGTAACGATTTGCAGATGACTTTCTCCCACCCGAGGACTGATTTTACTTCGTTTTGAAAACAAGATAAATGAAAGTTCATGGGTATCGGTACCTTCCTTATAGCCTCCATATCCACATCGTAAAGTTTGAAGCGATTCTGTATATCCAGTTCGAAGAAAAATGATTCATGAATATTGATCCCTCGGATGCCACTTTCGCATCCCTTTAAGTCATACACCCTGGAACATGGTGCCCGTCCTTTGCACGTCCTCGCGTATTACGTATTCTTGGTATAAAGACAATGGCACATTGTGATAGAAATTTCTAACGTAGGATGATTTGGTTACCAAAGTCTTGGTTGTTTGTATTCAAGGTTCCGCATTAATTATGTAGGCCCGGGCTGACACCCGAATCAGCCTTCGAGATCTCGCGATCGAAACGCTGCATGATATTATCGCCTCCGAGGTAGCCTTGCCGGCTGGAGAACAATGATGCCATAATGCCAGGACCTTCGTAAAGGACGCAGGATAAGAAGAGGCATTGACGATCGAGCGATCCGAGAATAGCGTTAACCCGCGCTCGGTGTATAATTGTTTCAATGTCGAAGAGATAAACCATAAACCCAGTTTGATGACGACCTAGGCCTCCTGGCCTGGAAATTCATCCGCGTGATTGTCGTCGCTAATTAATCGTGATGCACCTTATGCAAGTCTTGGCGAGTCGGTAAAAAAATTAACGGAAATGTATAAATTGGCTAGCCACGTAAATGGGGTGGTTGGAAAAATGGCGACGCCCTCGTTGGATGCGATATCGGTTTCTAGGTCGCGGGGGGAATGCATTTGCAGCCCCCCGAATGCATTTGCCGGTTGACATCGAAATCATCCCCTTGGTGGCCTACTGCGCCGGCAAC